AGACTGAAATGTTAGATTTAATCTCAAAGCATTACCTCCACTGTGTAGTCGGTCTTTGAGAGTCCTATTAGGCATATAATCACTATCTCAAATCATTTGATTACTTCACTGTCCATTTCTCGTGCTTTGTTTATTTCATTGTTTTACTGTGCGGAACAGGTTCCTAATACTAGTTACTAGACCTGCCATCTCTAAATTCAGAGCCACATCGCATCGCTTTCTGTTCCGCCGTGCCGATGTTTCTGCATGCCTTCGAAGCATTCGACAATTTGCAATGTACAGTATCTGGCAAACTTTTTGGATAATTGGACAATTGTTTCCGATACTTAATCAACACCATATTATTAGGTGTTTGGATTTTATTTGTGAAATTTAGGTGGTACACGTGGTTAAGTTTAGATCGACAGGATGGCCGAGTGATATGCTGATTCGATTATATATGACAACAAAATTACTCAAATCTTTTAGGAATATTACGATATAAGTACAGATAATAACATTATCAACAAACTGACAAAAATAGCTGTAATAACTGTAACTATCTGTTAAAAAATATATACGCTGAGTAATGAAATAAGAAATCCACATGTTTGACAGGAATGAGCGGCTCAAAGCACATCGAAATCATTTAATTTCCTTGCGAAGGATATGTGTCTTCGAAATAAATAATGTTTGCGATGATTCAGTGGTGAAGTGGTCTGTTAATAGTTATTAATTGGTTTATTAATAAGAAGAGGTTTATTAGGTACTTGGAACCGGCCGAACCAAATGGTGAAGGTTGTTTGACGAAATTTGTTTAAAGTTTTTTGTTTAATTCCAATTTTACTTTAGCATTTAGATGCTTCTTATCAGCGATTATGTAATAATGTTTTGCCGTAAATGCTCATAAAGTAAATATTAATTATCAAACAATCGTTTTTTCCTTTCTGATTCACGACGAGATGAACCGATTATCAATCAAAAAACGACGAAAGATGAAATTTTAACAATAAAGCAGCTGGAAAAGGATCGATTGGTTCATAACTCTAACGATTTTTATTTTTTATTAAATTTACATCGAGTCTTGCAATTTGGTAAAATTGGCCGCCACAACCTGCGCCAACCGGGAGTCGAACCCGGGTCTATACCTTGGGAGGGTACAATGATACCGCTACACCATTGGCGCACTACAAGCCATAAAAATTTTTCTTTATATGAATGCGAAATCAAAAATTTTTTTTGGTTTCATTTCTGAATTTCTAAGAAAAGAAATCTAAATGTATAGATTTCTGATTCTATGCAACAATTAATAGAAACTGCTAATCTGTGAAATAAATTTCGAAGACATGAGTTAATGAAAATGAATTTTGTGAAATGGAGAGGGAGATAAGTTAATGATGGCTTTCACTCGAATTGTGGTCAGTGGCACGAGCCTCACATGAAGACGAGGGTTCAACGTTCTTTTTCTACTCCCTGTCCACCGAGAGAAAATGCCGTCTCCAAACTTTCATCTAGGCAAATCTGCATATTCCGCTAAAATCTCCGATATAGGTTTATTTTTGGCTTCCATGCGCAAGATTTTCACAAGTATGTTTCATCGAAAAATTTTTTATCATCCATTTTTTTAGAAAATCTTTATTTACAATTCTTTGAACTAGTTTTAACTAATTTTGGTTAAACTTTATCAGAAAAATCTGAGCTGAGACCGACGACTTCTCTCCATAATTCTTTGGCCAAACTTTCTAATAACAAAGGGCAGCGAAGCAAATCCAATAGGAAATCGTTATAAACGTTAAACGTTATTCCATCAAATTTTGCCGTGCAAAATCATTTCTTGAAATTTTTGCATTTTGCACTTTTAATAACTCTTCATTTTCGGTTTAAATCGTAATTTTTTGCTGGTCAATTTTTTTAAAAGAAAGTGTGTTTTCGACGATCCGATGATAATTATTTCAAAAATGATCGGGAAAGATTGAAATTTTCAAGAATTCAGTTGTAAATTATTCTAATAACGACCGCATGGAAGTTCGAAGTTTCGATAAATCTTAGTTGGGGGAAAATTTATTTGTATGCGAATTCGTCTCAGAAATTTTAATTGAATCTCATTTTGTTGAAATCGCAGCGATTTCCATTCGATGGCATTAACCAAGCTTTAATTAACCAATTAGCCAAAATTATTGTATATCCTTCATTGAGATTTTTTTATCCTTCAGTTTCCTAATACCTAACCGACCGAGAGGGGATATTAATCGTATAAGTTGCAAATTGGCCAATGATTGCTGGAAATTTCTTAGATCATTTAGATCGAATATACCACGTAATTCAGGATTGCTATTCTTTCTTTTAAACTTGTTGGTCACCGAAACGTAATGTTTGTTGCTGTTTGCATACATATATATGCAGGAAAAGTTCACGAGGTCATAGCATGTTTTATGCATAATTAACTGCACACATTAATAATATAAAAATTTTCTTGTATCGATGATCAGAAATAAGCAGTGAAAGAAGGGAAAATTGGATTAAATAATAGATCGCAATGAATGGGGCCTAGAATTAATAGCCAGAAAGCTCTTGGAAAGTCTGATCGAGTTCTTCGGAAATGCTTTTGTATCGTTCCTTTTCGTGGACAAGTTCATCTGTAATTCGATGAAAAATTAAGACAAAAGACAAAAAGTGTTGAAAATATATGGCAACCAACCATCGATTTCTGCAATCTTCCATTCTTCTAGACGATTCTTATAAGTTCTCATTAAATAGAAGTCAAAACAGTCCAGTTTCAAACCAAAAACTTAAATCCTCTATCCAAATACACTATTGTAAAACCTTGTGGTCAGAAAGTCGCTTGGGAAGCACAAGTGGGTACACCAATCATTGCCTGGATTTTGCTTTTAATGACGAGGTTTTACCATATACAGTGGGGTTTCTTTTTGAAATGTTTTATGTTCGTTTTTTCATTGCCTTCTATGAAGTGTTTGGCGATTAATGAATTAGTACTATATTACCAACTGATAAATTTTTTTAGTAACAGGTTTGTCGCAAAAATTTGTTAGTAGAAAGAGAAGGAATTATTAGGTAAACAAGGCATTGCATAAGCACTGTGGTACTTACTCCCACGATGAGCGTTACACTTCTTTTTGCATCTCAACTTCTGACACTTTAATGTAATGCAGCTCAACTCGGGTTAAATTCGTTTGTTGCAAAACCAACCAACAAACCACTCGAATAGATTAGATGGGTTATTAATTATGTGATTGAATAAACGTCCTCAAATTTCTTAAAACTCACTTTCATGTTTTCTTTTATTCTGTTCAGTTTGTCGAAATTAATTTTTTAAGAAAAGCATAACTTTCATTTTTTATTGAAAAAGAATAAAAAATTGCACACAATTAACACAAAGGCAAGCAAGCAAACATGTTTAAAAAATTTTCTTAAGATTACAATAAGAGAATTTTAAGAATCTCCGATGTTCAACAACAGTCAAGTAGGGTTTTGCTCATTATTCACCTAAAATTATGAGTTAAGAAGAATTTAATCTGAATAGAGAATACAAAAGAAGAAAATCAGCGATGGGTGCCACCATTATAAATTACTACAATGAATCTTACCCGACCAGATTTTTCCTTCAATTCATCTTATTCTTTAGCTTTTATAATTATTAACTTCAATAATAAATGGTACAAAACATTTTAAAAACATTTCAAATGCGTTCATAAGAGAAATTATTATAAAAGAATTTTGCTTAATGATTAATGATTAATTAAACCGGTTTAGACGATGAATGCTCTTCTGCACGATCAGAATAATTCCCCCAATTATTCATCAGAATTCTCCTCATAAAACTGCTGAAAATTCGTTAAATGCAAATGACAAAATGTTATTTATATTCACGCAATGATAATTTTTGCACAGCAGTCTATTACATTCTTGCCCGTTATAATCATAGCAATAAAAAAATAGCAGAAAAGAAAGAAAAATAATAAAATAGTTCACATGGCAGCATGTTTTAAAGAGCCATATCATAAAATCCGTTCAGTGAAGAACCAATTCTTTTAAAAAGACTTTAGTCAATGAAGATGGGAAAGGGTGAAGTTACGATGGTACCAAACTCGTTCAAAAATGTTAAAAAATAGGCCTTTTTTCTCCATTTTCTTAAACGGCATTTAATTCACTTAAAAGGCGATCCAACTCTCCTTGAAGTTCTTTAGCTTTCATATCCGATGCATCTTTTGCACCTGAAAACAAAACACATAGCACACACCAATTATTAGTGGTTAGCATAAGAAAACCTATTATTATTACTATTTTTATCAATTATTATTAATAAAAAAAGAGTCATATCAACGACTGTTATTTGGTAAAACAAACTAAGACCTTATAAAAAAAATTGATTAAAAACATTTTTGGGTTCATTTGACAATTAATCTACATAGCGGTGATATCCAGAATTATTTCAATTAGATAACGACATGCAACAGTCTCAAATCAAGAAAGGATGAACATTTCCTAAAATTCTTATTGCATACATCATATTAGTATATAAATGTACGGATATTCTTTCAAAATCACAAATTTCTCCTAAAAAAAAAGATAGATTTAATGAAAAAGGTTACAGTATATTTAAATAAAGAATGGTTCTTGGTTACATCAAACGAAAAATTTAAATAAATTAGGACAAAGAAATAAGCAGCAAAGAAAAATATTTTGCCGCTTGGTTAAGGCCATAAATGCTTCGGCAAAATAAAATCATTTTGTAAAAGAATTACGCAGTTCAAATTATTATCACCCACAAAATATAAATAAAAAGTGCAGACGAAAAAAATTCAAGAATAAAGCAAAAGAACTAGAAGTTAAAAAGTAAAATTTGCGGGGAATCAAAAATTAACTTAAATGTCTCCTCAGCAGTAAATCAAATAATATTAAGCAGCAAATATCGTTCTAAATTAAATATACCAGTTGAAAAAAAATACACGTACATATATAAAAAGACGAGGACAAGATGTGAACATATAATTCATGCGAAACTACGATCCTTGAATTTCCTGAACGGTTTGCTCGATTTCTTCCGTAAGATTACGTACACGTTCCTTTTCCACCAATAATTCGTCTGCAGTTCAAGATTTCAAGACTAATTCCAATAAAAATAACTATAACAAAAAAAACATTTATTAAAATTCATTGCCCTATGTTTCTTAAACAAAAAAGCTGGAATGAACCAAAAAGAACTAAATAAAACTGAAAAATAAGCAAAGATTTCGCTGTTAAAAACGATTGACGATAATGATGGAACGGACATTTAAGACAGTAAATTATGCTGCGTGCAAACAACAATAACAAACACTAGTTTTTGAGTATCTGATCATCCTTCGCAATTAAAAAATAAGTCAGATTTCGTAATTGAAGAATAAATCCTTCACCATTTCTGGTTCTATGAATTATTTAGCATGTAATCTGTTTGTCAAATGAAAATAAAAGTATAAGTGATTTAAAGCAATGAGTTTTTATGACAGATTCATCAAGAGACAGGACATGATATTCAAAATATAAATTGCCTAATATTATTTCCATATTCATAATATTTTCCCACAGTAACAATTAATACTCGTTTTTGAAAACCTTGATAAAATTAGGACTTTTATGATTCCCATAAATATCAAACATTCTCGAAACTCTTAATAATAACGACCAACCACAACCATAAGCAAATAATTCTTTTGGATTCTTTGCTTAGATAATTAATGTCACCATTTCTAATTGGGCTCGTCTCATTGGCTGTTAGATTATTTGGGACTGGAACTATAAGTGGGTTCCAGATACCAACTAGATTTTTTAATGTCAAGTGGTTGGATAATGATCCTGAATCATGATCCTTAATTTCATCTTTTGCAATTTTTTTTGGCTTTCACTCCGATTTCACTTTTACTACTTTTAATCCTTTCGCTATATTCCAACTATACATAAATTTTTGAGCTGAAATAAAAAGAAAATTGAGGGAAGATAAACTAACTTCTCAACCATTAAACAAATTTTATGTTATATATGTTGTCTCATCGAATTTGCTTTTACTAACAATACAAAGCACCCTTCACCTACAAATTTTCTTCCTTTCAATAAATATCCTTCATATCTACTTTCCAAAAATTTTTCCACTTTTCAACAAGCCTCCTTCTTTCTCGCTGTTTGTTTGACCTGCCTTTTTTCTAATAAAATTACTTACATTCCAACAATTTCATCTATTGTCTGTTCAATTTTTCAGCCTTGTTGTAAAATCGGAAGATTAAAAAAATCAATAGAGTGCTAGCCTGTTCCTTGTTTCTTCTAGCAAATAATTCTCAAATAATAAATCTTATTTCACTCAAGTAATTCTTAGAAAACATTAAATAATGTCGAAGAGAAAGTGTGGGCACGAAATTCTAATAAAAAGAGAAGATAAATATTTTTCAATGATCTTCAACAATTAAATTAAATTGTGAATCACAAAAGAACTCGATAAATTTTTTTATAAAACCCATCAAAAACTAATTCTACCATAATCTATTCAGATTTAATAACATATATACAAATATAAAATGAACCTTCCAATCTATCTACTTCCTTTTGCAACTTTTGAACAGATCTTTCAGCGAATTCTGCGCGAGTTTCAGCCTAAAATATATTTTTTAAAATATCATCAAGTATTTTCTTCCAAATATTTAAACGTATAAGCCGAAATAAATCATAACCTAAATAATATGAAATTTAAGAAGATCTGATGTTTAATTTGGCCAAAACCAATGCAAGCACAACGAAACGACACCAACATTGGTGAAGATCTTAAAATCAAGTGCCTTAAAAAAAAAAAAGATTTAAAGAAATCCTAGATGGTCACTTATTTACAAACCTCCTTTAGACGTGCTGATATGGTGCGAATTTGTTCTTCATAGGAATCCTCACGTTGTAACGCTTTTTCTTCGGAAACTTCGAGCGATTTCAGATTATTTCCAACAACGCGAAGCTCTTCCTCGAGTTCTACGATTTTGCTGCACAAAAAAAAAAAAAAACGATCACCATTCACAACACAAAACAATAACTAGCCTAATAAACATTAAAAATTCTACAAATAATTCTAGCATTTGTAATTAAATAAATTTTTTGGATGCCTAAAGGCTAAAAAAGCCTTAAATTAAAGTAGAATGTGGGCCCTAAATTCAAATAAAACATTAAAACAAAAACCCTAAATTAAAATAAAAATATAAAAGCTTTAAACTGACTAAAAAAATCAAAGAAAAAGGGAAATTTTAAAATAAAATATGCATATGCAATGAGCAAAATAACAACCGTAAACTGCGTCTTCACACTATTACAAGCGCAGAAATAACAAAAACAACGACATCCATGAATAAATGGCACGAAAAAAAAGCCATAAAGGAAGAATGAAAAGAGTGAAAAGTCGATAACTTAAGATGTCCACTTGCCTCTTTTATACGATTCTGTAAGCATCGCACATGATCCGAGAATGAACTTTCGCGTTGTAATGCACGTTCCTCGTTTACTTCTAACGTTTTCAGATTAAGACCAATGGCTCTTAGTTCTTTTTCCATTTCACGTACATTTCTGTTAGATTAATTCATATTCCGATTTTAGGCGTAAAGCTTGTCTTTGGAAGAAAAAGCTTTTCTGTAGATCAGAACTCCTTTTTTGAGATTCGTAGTATCAAGGTCACAAGAAAATTATGAAATGATATGACCTTTCCGAGAACCAGGACAAGAAAACTACTTGTGAACCATGATCCATGAAAACTTGTCTCTAATTGTTGAAAAATAGAAAATAACATATTATTGATAATAATGATCAAAAGAATATCTTAAAATCATTTTAATGAACCATTTAATGAACATCATAAAATTCCAGGAAAATCGGAAGTACTATCAGAAAAAACCACTAGTACACTTACTTTTCACCGGCTTCAGCACGCTCTTCAGCACGTTCAAGATCTGCTTCAACCATTGCAAGTTTGCGAGCTACCTAAATTTCATTATTTATATTTTACAATTACCATTATTAATGGTTATTAAAATCCAAAATAAAAATTTCACGCTTGAAAAACAATAATAAAAACTCGGACAAATTTGAGCATAAGAAAATTAATTAATCATTTGCAAATAGTTACTGAAAACTGAAAAGAGGCAAACAACCAGAATCAAAATTCTGATGAACACTACAATTTAAGTAAATAAATAACAAAAAATTATAAAAATTGTCTCATGTTTTCTTCAAAATACAACAATAACAATGTAATTAAAATATATGAATTCATAAGATAAATGAGAATTAAATTAATAAATTAAAAGAAATTAGTTTATGATGTCCAAAATGCAAAATCATCTTCCAAGACGATACAAATTTTTACAGCAAAAAATACGACCAGAGACGCCTCACAAAGAAAACAATTCGAAAACATTGATAGCACAGAAATTCATTTTAATAATTTTGCGATATTCATGCATTTTTATCGCGAAAACATGCAAATAAGATAAAGAACTTTAAAAAATTAGAAAAAGAATGTTCCAAAGAAAAAAAAGGATTTAAGATTTCAAATATGTTAATGAAAAATCATAAATTCGATCACAAATGAGAAATGATTTAATAAAACAATTTTTATTTGAATTAAATCTTAAAATCTTATCTTAATTTTATTTAAATCATTTCATCATGAACAATTAACCTCTCCAGATTACTTGACTGGCAAAATGGTGATAAAGATCTTATCACCATCATTCATTGATGAGTATAAAAAACGAACAAATAGTTATAAATTCTCGTAACCTCGTCATATTTTCGATCAGCTTCTTCAGCAAGCATTTGTGCTTCCTTAAGTTGTGATTCGACCGTGTTTGCTCGTTCTTCATCTTGAAATGAACGATTCTCCATAACTTTGCGTACGCTAAATCCACCTAGTTTACCATAAAAATTCATTAAAAGTTCAAGGAATAAGGGTACCTGTGTAACAAACAACCATTATTATTTATTGCTTGTTATATCTATGGTTAGAAATTATATCTATGGTTAGAAATTTACGATTTCTAACCATCAAATCTATGCTTCTCAAAATTCTGAATAGTTGTTCATAACAAAAGCACCATTTACATTCAGAAATAATGATAAAAGAATAACCGCCAGTATTTAAGCATATAATACAATGAAAGAATGTCGTACCATAGACACCACAAAGTAATTTACACATATAACGAAATAAACTACATTTTCACAATAATCACAAAACACACATTACGAAAATAGTAAATAAAACAATTATTAGAAGGATTATATCGCAATTTTTGAATCAAATTCAAAATTAGAAAATTCAAAATGTTAATTTCGAGAAAAACCATAACAAGCAATTAGATTAACACCAGTCCAAACCTAATATGAATACAAATACAAAAGAAGTCAAAAAGAAATGAGTGTTAGAATTTTTGTGACAAATATACAACGGTGTATATCGGTATATATATATATATATATATATATATCACCAATATATCGATGTTGTTCAGTGAATTCAACGATGATTTACCATACCAGTACAGTCCTTTAGCACGCAAATGTAGTCATATAATCACAATCGATTAACCGATCTATTATGCGTAAATCACGTGGCGAACAATTTGGTCTATCAAACCAAAAACAGTTGCTTCCTTTCTACCGAACCGAGTCATTTAATTAAATTATTTTCCAGAAGTGCTTATCAGCAATGATTCAGTGAACCAATTTATGGTTTATATTTAAAAAATTAAAAAACTGTTAGTGAAGAAAAGTAAGGAAAAAAACCTCGTCGGATTTATTTTCAGTTTCAGCAAGTAGAGCTTGAGCTTCTCGCAGTTTAGTTTCAAGTTCTACACATCGATCATGATCCACATCAACACGATTCTCGAGAGCTTTTCGTGCACTGAATAATTTATTGAGAAGACAAACCTCATGCATTTGTTAATAAAATTCATCTATTCCTTTGTTTTTATTCCTTTTCGGGAAATAAATCCAATTTAAAATGCCATTTAGTAATAATTTTAGGAAATCCAATTTTGAGCATGTTAAAAGTCAAAATACCAAAAAAATTATTGAATTCATAAAATTGCGTGATTACATGCAAAAAATTATAAAGTGAAGCGAAGCTAAACATATACGATTAGTGCAAAAGATAATGATAAAACTGATAACATAAACATACAAATTACAAATTTCATGATTAAAACATAAGATAAAAGCATTTTCGACAGAAACTACAATTAAATTAGTTACGGCAAATTAAATAAAACAAAGAAACAAATAAAATGGCGAAGAAAAAGAATTTTTTGTCAAGAAGACACGGAAGTTTGCGAGCGATACCAATAACATCAAAAAACTTTTATTTGAAAAAAACGAGATGATAACCTCTTCATACTTTCGATCAGCATCTTCTGCAATTACTTTAGCTTCATCAACTTGAACTTCAAGTATATTTGCACGTTCTTCATCTTGTTGTGAACGAGTTTCCATTGATTTACGTGCACTGGAGAAATCAACAACAAAAAAAATTGAACGATGGACATGTGGAAAACTTTTTTCATTAAAAACCGACCCATACTTAATTGTACGAACAAAAAATCAAAAGGAAAATATAAAGTAATTCTAACATTTTTACTTTCGTTGCCGGAATTCTTTCTACAAGAATAAACATAATTTAAGATCATTTAAAGGTTATTTAGTCGAAAAATGACAAATAGTAAGAAAATCGACTAGAGAAATCACACAAAAGAAAAAAAACTGAACAGGAGCGTGAACAAATAGCTCGAGCTAATACTCATCTAAATCCATATTTATATAGTCCATATAGTTCATTCATATCATGCGAGAGGTCATTCCAGGAAAAAATTGTTAATGTCGACAACGATCGCATGTCCAAAATTCACCAAAAAAATGAATGGATAATTGTTAGTTGAAAAAAGAAGGTCCATGTGAAGCTATTGTTTGGACATTTGTTATTTTAAAGCTAAGCTTTTTTAGAAAAATATTGGCGGTTGTAGAAAGATTAAGCCTAAGGCCGACGATTGGCTAACCGCTCGGATTCATCAGCAGTATGTGTTGCTTCTTCGAGTTTATCAGTAGCAATCTTAAGCCGTTCCTCGGCGCGTTCAAGTTCTTCTTCGAGTAACGTCATACGACGATTTAAAGCAGCAACTTCTGCTTCAGCCTACAAATCTCGTGCAAATCAACAAAAAAGAAACAGAAAATTTGAGTAGGAAAAAGCATTCCGCTGCTGTGGTACCTCGTGGATTGTTAAGTAACGGTACTCGGGATAAGTCTGACAATTTTTAAGATGAAAAGAAAACTTAAAAATAGGATTGAAAAATTCTTGGAATGATTAACAATCCACAATGTAATTTTGAGAAATTTAAGAAGCGATAGGTGCAGTATATGAATGCTGATACGAGGTGATAATCTTTTTCTTTATCACCCAATTATTTTAATTTACCGTTCAGCTTCATCAGCTGCTTTTGATGCTTCGTCAAGTTTGCCTGTTGCTATTTTAAGTCGATCTTCTGTTCGTTCCAGATCCTCTTCCACAAGCACAATACGACGATTTAATGCCGCCACCTCAGCTTCTGCCTAAACTTGTCATTATTTCCTTCCTTTCCTAATGAAATCTAAACTCTTAAATCTAGTTAATCTAAAATGCAATTAATCTTAATTAATTAAAATATGAATCTGAATTTTTTATTTTCTTGTTTTGTTTTGTTTGTTTGTTTATTTTGAATTTTTCTTGTTTTGTTTGTCTTGTTTATTTTTGTTTTGGACCTAAAAAATCATTTGAACCTCCAAAATCCAAAGGAATTTTTTAAAATCCTGAATGGCCCTTTTTAGAAATTTGAAGTGAAACTTGGTATTTAGAGGAAGAGAATGAATGATAAAATCAAAGAATTACACCTAACTGACGATAAGATCAATTGCAGATCGCCATTAAAGGCTATTGGCATCAATTAACAGAAAAATTTTTACTTCTATAAGCACAGTTTTGAAGAAAAAAAATAATTTTTTTTATGCAATAGAATCTAATCGTAATAATATGCAAGACAATGCTGATATACTTGTGGTATTAATTTAAAAAACCTTTTGATGTTTTAAAAATTGAGATTTTTAAAACATTGGAATTCTCTACTTTATTATTTTATTATTTTAGCAAATAAAATATCTTTTTTTCATTCAAATTTTTTTAAATAATAAAAATAATAATAAATAAATAATACTTAAATAATAAAAATAATAATAAATAATACGGTGAATTTTTATCGTTTATAGAAAACAATAATGGTAAAATAATAACAATTAATAAAATAATAAATAACAACAATAATAAAAGACAACCGTAAATAAATAATAATTCAAATAATAACAGTAATGGTCCAAGAATTTACTTATCTAAAAAATTTGTATATAAGATATTACTTAATTTTTAATTCAATGAGAATAAGTGAATATAAGTGAATAATTAAGAATAACTAAATTGAAAAAATGGGGAAATGAGACGTACTTCTTCACGTTTTTTACGTTCCTCTTCAAGTAAACGCTTAACTTCATCAGCTTCATCTTTAGCTGCTTCGGCTTCTTCTCGAGCTTGTCGCATTTTCTTCTTTAGAACATCAAGAAGTGATGTTTGTTGAGCTCCAGCTTTCTCCGTCTTTGACATATTTTTTCTAATTACTTAGTAATAATAATTAATAACAATAAGAGTCGAATCGTTATGAATAAGTGGAAGATAAGGAATGGATGATTGGACGATAGCACAAAATTTTTAAACGAAAAGCTCCAAGTCGAACTTCTCTTGCTATAAAACTAGTTTTGCCTAGTTTCTCTAGCTCGAACTCTTTTTCCAAACTTCGATCTTCGTTTTTTTTATTAGTCTTCTTCAGATCCTTTTGCTTTTGTTTAGCAAAGAATAGTAGCGTACAGTTTTCACTTTCCTGCACCTATATGTCTTCTTCCTTCTTATAACTTCCTTCTCCTTGTTCTTTGTTCCTTATCTTTCTTTTGCCGTGTTCCTTCAAGAGAGGGAATTCGAACACAATAAAAATGGAAAAATAAACAAAAACTTTTTCCTCTCCCTATTGCCAGCAGGCTTCTTTCTCTTCTGCAAATAAAAAAATTTCGACTAAAAATTTCGACTAAAAATATAGCGATACAACGATCCTTAGTCATCAGTGGAAGGGACTTTTAGCATGATCTTTCATATTATAAAACTTTAGATCACTGGAGTGCGATCTATCGGAATTGCAGAAGGCCTTTCAGTTCGATAAAGGTATTTGAAGAAGAGTTGGAGAAGCCACAAGTCATGATTCCAATATGCAAGAGACCATGACTTATGACCTAATTTAAGACTGGCTCAATTCCTTGTTGCCAATAAAAACTTTTAATTACCACTGAATTTAAAAGAAAACAACGAAAACTGGTAGTCGGCTAAAAATACAATGAAAAATGCCAGAACTTTCCTAATAAATGAGTCTAAAAAACATGAAAATTTTCTCATCTTCATGATTATCGCGCAAAAAAAGACCGCATTTCGACAAAATTTAAAAGAGAAATTGTCAGCTTTGTGGCCAAATTCATTTTCTACGGTACGGATGGTACTAAAAAGAATAATGGCCGTAGCCGTTTCCTCTAAGATGCAACAATCAACTAATCGATGTTTGCTAGTCGTCTGCATCGATTATAACATAAAAACATCAAATCAAAACTTTAATGTTCTAAAACTTGGGTTACGTCAGGCCAAAGGCAAAATTTGGCTATTTTTCGCCCTAAAAAACGGCGCAAATAAATCGATTATCTTCTGATAAGGCAACGAAGGGTCAAAGTTCACCAAATCCAATAAAAATCGTTAAAAAATAGAAAACAGTAACAAATTAAGCGATCCATACACACCATTCATTCATTCACTCAACGACTCCCTCTCAATAAATCGAATTCCCAACTATGGATGGATTGTTAGAGATTGTAGATTTTGTTGAGGGTTAGAGAAAACGATCCGCTACAGATCATTGAATCGGTGGATACCTCGATTGTAAAATAAATACTGAAGAAAATGATATTGAGAGAGGTGCAGAGATTGTGAATCAGGATTGTAAACATGAGAAAACGAGGAAATTGGAGAAAAATACACTAATCATGATAGAGGATGCAAGATGAAGAGGGCGAGAGAGAGAAAAAGAAAAAAGGGAAACCTGAGGTATTTTTATAAAATTCGTTGCTCGTTTTATAAAGATTTATTTCCGAGAGAGATGGCGTTAATTTAATAAAATTTATGCGTTTAAGAAGCTAAAATTTACAAGGAAATGGTGGAACCAAAGGAAAGTAAAATAAAGGAAACGTTGTGATAAGATCGCTTATCATCTGCTAAGGGGTAAGAACAGACAGACCAGCAAGGGATTTTACCCGAAGGCTTACCCCTGCTTCCCGGAATAGAATCCTAGCGCTGGCCCTGCAATTGCGAGCCAATGAACCATTCTATCTTCTTTTGTTTTCGCGGTTCGGCGACAATTTCACGCGATAACTCGTAGTACGGCCTGAGGATTCAAACCTGCTCCATTTCCAGTACAATGGCAGTCACTAAGCGCCAAATTTAAAATAATTTCAATATAATATTTTAATTTAATCAATTTCAATATAAATTTTAATAAATCCATGATTTCATCTAAATTATTATATTATATAAATTATTATATAAATTGTGTTAATTATTTAATATTATTTGATAATATTTAATATTTTATTAAATTTTTTAATTTTATTTTATTTCAACAAATTTTCTAAGGTTCTTGACGAGTGATAAATCTTTTATAAAAAAGATCCGGTGGTGCTGGCTCATCTTTTATTGTTAGGTGCCATCTTTAAAAATTTTCAGTTGTACTACTAGCTAGCAAAGTGGATCTGATCAGAAAGGAAAAGTGCTAACCTCTTAAAAATTTCAATTAAAGTTGATTCTTTTGGATATGAAAAAAGAAGAAAAAGTTGTAATGTTGTTCCCAGAATTTTTTTAGGAGAGAATTCTTTTGAATAATCTTGGAATTTCTGTAAAAGAAAGAAAAATGAACAGACGATAGTTTTTTCTATCTAAATTTCTCATTTTTTCTATTTTCTTCCTTTTCCCCCTTAAGCATCCCTCTCTTCATGCATTTATTACACAAACTTTATTTGTATTAAATACTGCTTGTTGGGCAAGTATCATTTATTAAATGAGACTATTTGTTACACAAATACTTCTTAGTGGATATCGCTTATTATATAAATTATTATGTTAAAAGTGTTATTGTTGAAATAACAGAATTTTTTTTTTGAAGAGATTATTTTAAAATAATAAATAATATAAAATTCACAGCTCTCACCATTACTGGTTGGGCTGGCTGAATTGACTACAAGGATAACATGTTTCTAAATTGCTCGATCTGATACCATTGTCGACAGTAATAGAAGCCACTTTTTTTCCATCGTCTAAATCCATATGTTGCTGGTCCACCTATACGTTCAAAATCTTTCCTGACCATACCCAATCTTTCCAGGTTTTGATTGGTCCACTTCACTTTTGACGTCACACATCACAGGGTTTACCATCATGTAATAGCACGAAATAAGCGTCAACTTCTGTGGTAGACGACGAAGAACGTGCCTTAACCAGCGAAGGCGACGCTCTATGATAACATTGCTAATGCAAGTGGTATTTGAACGAAGGTTGTCGCGATCATGTGATATTTTATTCGCTCTATGGACCCGTAAAATATACCTTTGAGAAGAGTGGTCAAATGCAGATAACTTCTTAATATTCTCCACTCTCATTGGCCAGGTCTCAGAACATATAGCAAGAATCATGGCTAATAGATGCGGACTTCTGTTTTTATTGTAATTTCACGGCTCCATAAAGATTTCGTCAACTGGAAGCATGCATTTCTAGCTGCTAATTATTATAATGCAACTCGTTTTATTGTCTGTGGCGATAATTTTTCCATTAATAAATAAATAAAGTTAATTTGAAATAAGACCCTTCCGTTAAAGAGCCGATTAGGAATAGAATTACAGGGTCCCCAGCATCCAGTCAGATTTTTGCTAATGATAGGTTTACTTCTGTCGAAGATAAAAGTTAAGGATGAAAAGGAGAAAGAAACTTTAAAAAGGCAAAAAAAATTAAGGGTTGAAATTAGATGAGCCCTTTAGAACTTTCGAGAAAAATAATAATTAGCAATAATCGAGTAATACAAGGGGCATAGAAAAAAATTTCTAATGCCAAGGATGGCATCGAAAAGAATTGCCTGAAAACGTCTTATCCTCGTAGCCAGCGAACGCAGCCAAATAAGAAATGGTGAGAACTTTTAGAAGAAATTTGAAATCAGAAATGAAATTGGATTAATATTTTAGTATTAAAAAACAAACAAGATTAGCGTATGTAAGCGCTAGCTGTCTGTACGATTTTAAAATGAGGAAGTAAGTTAGTTGGGAATAGAAGTACAGTTGGAGCCCCAATATCACCTTATTTTTTAATGATAGATTTGCCTTGTCTCAGCCAGAAGAACTGGTCGAGCTGCTCGAGGGGATAGGCCACTCGAATTTCTTAAAATTCTGAGTGGTGTTGGCGAGCCATATTTCTACCTATCTTTATCTCTTCGGTGAAAATTTCTAATTGTACTGGCCAATGGAGATAACCAAAAATAGTAAGTGACCGCTTATTTTTATTTTACTTTTGCTTTTTAAAAAGGTAGTTAGAGTTCATATTGTTCAAACAATTTGCTATTAGCTTATCAAATAAATTAAAGTTAAACTTTACCATCTTCTTAAATTATCACTTCTTAAATTTATTTGTTATCACTTAGAAGTTCTGATAATAGGGCTTTTATCAGGGTAGATAGGTATTTATTCTAATAGCATTCATCTTTTCTGACTGGCTATTGAGATACTTTTTCACCAGAAAGTATACAAGTACAGAAGAGTCCCTAGTATTTTTGCACGGATTTTACTTTAGTGATATTTATATTCCCAAGGGAAAAGGTTCGAATCTTTATTATGGCTTAATCCTTAATGGAAACGATAAACTTCTAACGATTAAAATTGTATTAATTTAACGATAAAATGATAAAAAATTATCTCTAAGGATAATATAAATAAATAGCAAAAAAAATTTTGGATAAATTTATAAATTTACCCTGAATCAACACACATATTTTTTTGTATTGTATTGTTCATAGAATACAATACAATAATAAATATAAAACCGAAGGCCGAAAAGGGAGAAAAGGAAGAATTAAGCGATCAAAGCAATCAAGCATTTTGTGATTATTTTATCATCAAATCAGCATCGTCGTTATCAGTAGAATTGAATGGCAAAACATTCTTTTTTTTCGCTTAAATTGTATTCAATATAAATTGTATACAATAAAACGAGATTTGCTTTCCGTTGATTTTTTTAATGAATTTTATTTTAAGAAAAAAATTTCAGCGAGAAAATAGAAATTTACATTTTTGGATAAACATAGTGGTTTTTAGATTCCCGTTTTTCAAATTAATGAAAGGTCTGCCGATATTTTGTGATGATCCTTTGACCTTTGACAAAATTGCTATAAACATATGAAACCATTTCATTTAAACATCAGTGATAATTATTAATTGCTATAGGACCCCCTTTAACCCTAAAAGAGGATTATGCATATTATTGAATTTTAGCTCCTTTTTTTGTAGTATGTGATACAAAAATTACTGGTCGCAGAAACTCATAAATCATTTTTTTAACGATAAAGTGTTAAATTTACAAATTTATTTTTGACATTTTCGTTAGTTTTACTAAATTTCATAACGACCATCCATGTTCTTAAATATACTTTAATTGCCCAAAGATCAAAGTAGTCGAATGATACGGTCTCGTCTTCATAAATTCTATTCCTATGCTTTGATGGGAGAAATCTGCCATTAAAAATGAAATCCGATCCATTTTCTATCCGCAAATGATTTATTCTGGTAGTCAGTATGAAATTGCCTTAAAAAAAAATTTATCCGGCCAAGTACTGCATATCATTATTTTACTATTATTATTTTACTATCTTATTTTACTATTTTTATTGCTTTTATTCATCAGTATGAGCGTTTAAAAAATGATGGGATTATCATAAAAAATCGGCAATGATTATACTTGTAATAAATAATTTAAGCCTATAGAAAATTAAAGAAACCTAAAAAAATGTGGTATAAAAAATCTATTTATAGGGATTATAGAAATACTGAAAAGAAATGATAGATAGGTCGGTCGGTCGGTTGGTGGGTCAGTCGATTGGAATGTTTTAGATTATAGCAAGATTTTTTACAAATGGAATTCGATGAGAATTAAAAAAAAGAGAATTAAATGAACGAGTGGGAATGAAATGAATCGACTGAAATGATTCGGCCGATTTTAAAATATTTTTTTTAAAAAAAATTTTCCAAATCTAGTAAAAAAAGTCGCCAATCTCCTTATATTCCAACAAAATGAACCTATCTATTATCATTGGAACTTCGTCGAATCAACATTCACCCGACTATCCTTTCTTTAATCGAATTGGATAGGAAAATTTTGTTTTGGTCTGAGCCATAAGAATGAATGATTTTTATTTTTTTGGTAATAAGGCATTTCTATGTATTAGCATTAATGATAACACTCACAACTTGACAGTAATTTATTATCAGTCATGCAGTGCATTATCATCACCTAACTGCGTTATTTCTCGATTTAATTGGCTCCACTGACAGGAATGAACAGGTGCTTTGAGAAGGAATGAACATAAAGGCTCCACTCGGCTACTCGGATTTCATTAATGACAAGTTCATTTCAAGAACTGAACCTGTGATTCCTTGAACTAAGGCAACATACCATTCGACCATCCTGTCTTTAATCTAGTTGAATCATTTTAAGTAATCTCATTGGCAAGATGGCAATTGCATTGTTAATGATGGATAAGGTAGTTTTTTATTTAAAAACTATAAAGGCCATCGTTGTTAATAAGAATAAATAATTGTAAAAAAAGAAAAATTAACAATTGAAATATTTAAAATGCTTTTATCGGACATAAATAATAATTAGTTGAAGAAACTGGCATTTCAAGATTTTGAAAAGATTTTTTATTAAAAAATCCATAAGATAAATCGTAGTGAAACAGGTGAAGTATGAAAATATCATTAATAAAATAAATTATAGGCAAATTTAGCCATGAAATATTATCAGATCTTGAATATTTATGCGCTATTCTGTGTAACAGCTACATGCGGGTGCACGCGAGTAGTTCTAGATTGCCAGATAACAACGCTCGGACCCTGCCTCCGGCAATAATATTCTTGTTATTACAAAATGCGTGTGGTATTAGCCGCCATCCTCCTATCTTGCACTTCTTTCTTATACTGACAAGCAAATATGTCTTGACCTACCCAGAAAGCTTCAACCAATTTTACTATTATTATGGAAAAGACTGAAACTGACCTGATTCAAAGCGTATCGTTGATATTGTGCTTGTGGAACGATAAAAATCTGTTAAGCAAATAAAAAAATCCTAAATTATTTTGACGAATGATTTAAAAAAATTATTTTTAAATGGGCAAATCCACACTATAATATGACGATGCTTTTGGGCATTTAGCATCGACGAAATATTGGGGTAAATTTTACCTCTTGTACTTTCTTTTCCTTTTCCTCCAGATTAGTATTGGCTACAGCCAGATCTTCTTGGGCCTTATCAAGATCATTCTCAGTTTGCATCATCTTCTTTTGTGTATCGCGTAATTCTTCCTCAATTCTTTCCAACTTATCCGTCATTTGCCGTACTTTTTCCTCAGCTGCATCCGCTCGGTCCAGTGCATTATCCTTAAAATTCGTTTTTTTAAAAGTAATGCGGTAAACTGTTACCATGAAATATTGCGACTATTCGTTATTGCATTGTAATGAAACAAATTGAACGAGAATTTTCGCCTCTCGGGGTCTTTAATGCTGATTATAAAAATTTTTCGAAGAAAATTGATCAAAATCCAAGATGGCGCAAATAACCTTTCTCTCCTTAAATTCTATTGGCATTTCTGGCATGAATTTGCGTATCCGCTCATATGAATTTTTAATGGATAACTATAGAAAAACATTTGGTGGTTTTGAGAAATTTTGACAATTTCAACTGGTTTTAAATAATTGTTCAACGAAAAATTCTCAGAAAATCGTGGAAGAAGATAGCATAGATCATTCAAAATTCCCATTTAAAATATTGGCAGTTTCTGGCCAAATCACTATTAAATCATTTAAAATTCAGGAATTCAGGAATTATTGAAAGAGCTAATAATTGGTTTTGTTCGAAAAAGTGATTAAATTTTTAATTTCCAAAAAAATTACAACTTTGCTTCGTTGATCCTTTAAAAAAAAACCTTTTGAAGATCTTTTTTTCCGAAATCTCATACTTTTTTATCAATTCAATCAGTCAATGTAGGAAATTGATGAAAAAAAGTTAAGCGAATAATAAATCTTATTAAATAATCATTAAATCCATTTTTTATCATTCATTAATTATTAAAATTATAAAATCTAAAAATTACTTATTATACCAAATACCAAAAAGACCACTTTAATAGGCCTTGAATTCTGGTACCACAATAATTGTAACAGAATAGCCTTTGATAAAATAAATCGATCATGAATGTTGGAAGCAAGGGTAGGAGTTTATTATGGAGTTGATCACTTTTCAGGTCTGGATTCGTATAAAACTTCGTATTTTTCCAAATCATTGACCTCTTTATAATAATGTTATCTGGCAATGGGGGTACACATGGATGCCCAGCATCACTTGGAGCTCGCTTATAGCCGTGACAAATAATTTTTTAGTCTAACTTGAACTTATCTCAGTGAATAAGAAGCATAAATTTTTTCAAACATAATTTAAAAAATCAACATGAAGGAAATTGAACTAGATTCCTAGAATCCTAGAAAACTTAAGCAACAATTAAATGATTAATGAAAATTAAATTACAATTTAAACAAATGCCCTTAGGCTATATAAAGATGGTAACCTTCTCTATCTTCATAGCTTGCATTTTCTTCTTTATAGCATCCATATTGATGATACGCTGATAACTGGAGTGCAGCCGCAGAATTAAATAAACTATGATAAGACTGAGCTATGTTTCAGTTAATATGCTCCAGCTAAGTCAGCTCCACCTAGATAAATCAGCTTTTCGCATATTTTTACATTTCTCTCTATTTTTACAATTTAAACAAATGCCCTCAGGCTATTTCGAGATCTTTCTTTGTGTTTTCGCATCTGTTGCAACGTTAGTGATGCACCACAAAAATTTTGCGTTGTACATATTTTCGTTGAAATCTTCTTGCTTTTCCTCTTCGTATATTTCACGAAATATTTTCTCGAACTGCAAAAAGCTCTCTGGAAGGCGTTCTCATCCAACTGTTACAACAAATAAAACGATAAAAATGTATGTCGGTCGGTTGTTCGAAGGGAACGAAAAATAATGAGTTAGAGGATTTTCCTAGAACAACTGACACATTTTTCGCTTATTTATATTCTTTATTATCTCAACTAACTAAAATTAATGTAGAATTTTTTTTGAATCATAATAATCATTAAATTTCATACAAATCAACTTTGAAGTTATAAAAGTGCTTCGTTCCTTTAGGCAAAATTTTTATTCATCTTCTTCGTTAATCGAAAAATAAATCCAAGAAGGTACATATTTTTCAACACCTTTTCGAACGAAATATCTCAACCTTTCTCCCCCCGTACCCATTCGTCTTTCCCCATTCCTCATCACCATCTTTTATTTTTCATAATCATTGTTTATTGAAACGGAGATTTTTTATCGCACACATTAGAATTCTAACGAGAGATTTTTGCTTTAGATTTCAATAATCTTGTTATCAATAATTTCTTCTTAAAAAGAGAGAGCGAATTCTAAAATCTTTTACAAATTTACAAATTTAAAATGGCAAAATTTATAAGAGATTAATGATCAAATCCAAATAGAATATTAAATTGGAACATACAACCATATACAATTTTCAAGGAAAACACATATGGGGTTGAAAAATTGAATTCGAAAAACGATTATTAATAAGAATCATCAACAAACAAGTCAAAGTATAAATTTTATCAATGCCTGTCGAGTTTTCAAAAATTTTTGCTAATAACAATGTCCGTCATCACCATTCTTCCTTTCTCCATTTTTGGCTAAAATCGAAGTTGATTCATGATTTATTTAAAATACGATAATTAAAGTCCACCATCCTTCATAATTCATCTTCAGTGAAGTATTCCCCGGTATGCAACAAAATAATTCACCAAATGAATAAAATAAAAATCCTACTCCCAATCGTCAAAGGTGGTATGATATACAACTATCGAGGAATTAGACTATTAGATATTTCTGAAAAAATTTTCGCTTTCTTTCTGATGAACAGGTTAATGGTAATACAACATGATGGACACTAACCAAGAAGCGTTTAATACGACGTGCAAGTATGTGCTTACCAGATATGCACGCTAAGAATTATTCAGTTGATACAGCAGCATTGTGGAGACATTCCAGACAAGATTATTCATAAAGTATATTGGTACAAGTTTATTTGGGTCTGATAGACCACTTTGAAATAAAAAATGGTGTCCATTAGACTATATCCTCTTCCCTACAATATTTGACTGTGTGATAGATTGGATTATGGATATCGTTTGCAGGCATTCAAGTTAGTCCTGTAGTATCACAGTATCACAGACCTTGAATATGATAGTGATGGAGCCTCCTTTGAAAAAATGCAAAAGATGCTAAAAAATATGTCGACAACTGCAGGAAAAATCAGACTAGGATAAAAGCAAATTAAAAAGCATTTTCATCTATATTTAACGTTGATAAAATGTTTTATTTTTATCAAAAAAAGGATTAAGAAATTGGCGAAGTTCAAATATTTTGAATCCACTCTTAGCCGAGCAAAAGATGAGGTTGAAGTCGGGATAAGTCGAGAAGTCTCTATAAGTGGGTTCTTTCGTACGGCAAAAATTCTATGGAATCACCGCGAAACCACAATAAAAATTCTGGCTGCAGTGCTTATCATAGTTTATATAGTTACGAAACATGGTCACTGAAATGGAAGCTATTAAGAAGCTACTTTCTTTTCACATCTTAGTTCATTCTATTCACCAAGTGGACAAAATCCCAGATAGTTGCATTCAAAACATCGTCACACAGCCTAAATCACGATGATCAGGCCATGTTTTTTGCCGCCGATTGCAATTTACATATATCTCGCTATTTGCTCAACCCCTGTGGGATGACGTCAAAAAGGAGACAATTAATTGCCTGGGCTGGTAGAACCAGAAAAGATTTTGAAAATGTAACTCGCTATTCACTCAACCCCGTATGGTAGACAATGGAAAAAGGAGTGGCTTCTCTTAATCTAAGGAATGGCATCCGACCGGAGGCACTTTATCTTTATAACCAACGAAGTCAGTCTAATTAGAAATGCTCATGCAAGATTAAAATCCTTTGCTTCAACAGTTAAATTTTTCTGTGCTAAAATTCGATCATAATTCGATCTGTCGTAAAATTTTTAGATAAAAATACAAAAGTGATAGTAACAAATGAAGAAATAAATAAAGATACCATTTTTCAGAGAATTAATCATATCGATATGATCCAATAAACATTTGGACGATCGAAAAAATTGCGTAGAATTTGAATATTTTTTTTTGATTTTTGATAAAAAAATTGATTTCCGACAAACAGCATTCATGAAACATTAATAACATTGGAAAAATTTCCTACGTTTTAGAACAAAATAAGACCCGCTTTTTTCAGAAATTTAAATATTTCATTCTACCACAAGTAGATCAACATAAAAAAAGAAAAGAACAACAACTTTCTGATGCTCACAATACAATTTCGAAAAGAAGAATCATATTTTCAATTATTAAACTAAAAAATACATGGCATAAATATTAAAAGACCAGCTTCTCCACCACATATAGCAAGTCGACCAGAAGCTTGACTAATATCAATTACATTTAGAGATTCAGTTCTCAGATCAATGCTATATGATTGAATTGGAAACTGGTTGCACTGAAATGTAACTTTAATCAAAATATTGGCAGGCTGCAAATAAAAACTACATTCTTGCTAAAGATATACTAATAATGAAAAAATATGAATTTTATTTTCCTTTATTTGAATATATTAATAATTATTAAAAACCTCAAAAATCCAAAAACTACTGCACCTTAATATCTTCGAAATTAATTTCCAAATATGATGCTTGTGCACTTAATTCAAGATTTGTGGCAGGCGCTTTCAGATCAGATCCTTTCTCATTTGTTTCAGTGTCGCTAAGCCAAGCCTGAAAATGAAGAAAAATTTCAAAAAAATCAGAATAAAAAAAATAAAACTTTAAAATTTTAAATAAAACTTTCATTGCTTAAAATTATAAATATTCTCAAAAGTAAATAAATTCCAAACTCACATTATTATCATTTGGCTTGCGTATTACAGTCATTAATACACGACATGCCTTAAAAAAAACATCGCGCTGAGTTCCATGTGGCACAATTCGACCATTTAGCGACACAACAAGACGGCCATCACCACCTACTGACATCAAAGCACCTGTCAGTGGGCAAAAAGCCATTTCCCATACACATATTTCATGCCTATATTACAAATTTTCAATCAAATGTTTACAATCCCTACCTATTTTTTTTTTAGAGAAAAACCCATAAAATATCCTTATAATATGATGAATTAATGATACCACAGATACCACAGATTATATTATTATTAAATAAAGAATAAATAAACAACAAAGGCGATTAACCTATTGATGATGGGAACCACAAAAAAGTTTCCTTCAGTTGAAATACAAGTTATATAACATCCAGCACTAACAGAATGGCTGGTGAACGATTGTGTCGGATTATGGACAGCAACATTACCACACTGATAACTTACGAACCCTTTGAATAATCGCTCACAACTGGCCACCTAAAAATAAGGAATAGAAATTTATAGTCAATATCTATTGCATAATTTTTCTTTACCAATTTCTAAAATCACCATAACACCATCTGCGTGTGCATATAATTTGTATGCTTTTATCAAAAACCTAATTTCACACCTTCCCCTCCATCAGTCTCCCAATCAATTTGTTTTTCTTCTTCTCTAAAACTTCCTCACTATATTTATTTAACAGGAATTCACAGTCTCTTATAATATAATCACTAAAGGCTCTTGCATTTCCTTTATTTTTTACGTTGTCCATTTTTTTGCAAATGTATGAATTTATAATGAAAGAATTTAAAACTATAAATAAAAATAAATTTAAATAAAAAAAAACTATTTTGTCAAATAAAAGATTTTTAAAGATAGAACTAAAAATCCAATTTCTAAAAAATCACATTTTTCAATAATAAGGAAAAATTTGAAAAGATATATATCACCAACAATTGTTTAAGAGATTTTAAAAAAATAAGAAAAAACGTGATATTCAGTTATCATTATTTAGTTGTTAATGGAAACGACACCTTGGCCCCAGCTGTTCTGCTGGCACCTTCCTCGAGTAAAACTTCTTTAGTAATATAATCATAAATGAGAATAAATTTCTCACGAAAAGATACAACAACTGAAAATGAAGAAAAATCATATTATAGAAGTATAAAAAAACAGAAAATCAGACATATATAATTAAAGAACTTAATCTTTAACAAATCAAAAGACACATCTCTTAATTACAAGAAGCCAAAATATCGTTTTATCAAATTTTTTTGTTACCTTATAATACTAGTTCTATGACTACTAATATACTTACGCTGATTAGGAAAATTAAATACAACATGCGAAGGTGGCGAACTCCAGTCATCGACTTTTAATAAAAATGGAGACGATTCAAGATTATTTAAATCCCACAATAAAACCGCACCTGTAAAACTATAAAATATATAAACATATATATGATAAGCAAATAGTAGAAAACGCAATTAAACAATAAATCAAATTCAGAGAAAAAAAGATATAGAAAAAAACCGAATGCAGAAACAGCGGCGATTTTTGAAGCCCCCTCATATTCAGTCCAAGCAAGAGAAAAAATTGGTGCATTCAAGCAGACCTCTGGATTTTTTAGCGACAGAAATGGCTTAGCGCGATAAACAATGGGATTATCTGAAGAATTCTGATCGAAGAGATCAGTAAATATTCTGAAATAAAAAAAATATCGATATAAGGATTTAATAATATTATTTTCCCATTAAAAAATAAGGGCCATGATTTAAAATTCAATGAATTTAATACCTAACCAAATACGATGAAACTATCAAAATTTAAAGGAATTCTCTTTTCTAAAAAAAATTTGCAAATAGCCAATCAATCAAATCAAACTGACTTAACCTGTACAAAAGTACATTTCCTTGCATCCCAGCAACTGCTAATATTCCAAGTAAATTCGACAATGGTATTTGTCTGGTATAATGTGTGGAATGCCTAACTGATGGACACCAAGCTAACGATAATATCGCACCAACTTTTGTTTCCAGCATAAACGATAAATTTGCGACAACACTTCAATTTTTTTATTTTCTGTGTTTATTTTCACCAGTATTTTTATTAGAAATTTTAAACAATGCGATAAAACTTCATTTTTGAAACGCATGAAAAGCGATAAATTGAAGTTTCATATTAAAGATATAAGTAAAGAAAAAACAAACCTGCCCTCTTTATTAGTGAACAACCATAACTGGATATAGTCGGTTAAATCCACCGTATTTCTCTTGACTAAATGCTCTTCATCATGAAAAACGCTTACTGCCACGCATTCGCGACCTTAATATGGCGCACGATATAACAACAAACGAAAAGCTTAATTTCCATCAAATAAATATTGTAAATGTTATAAATAAATATTTATATAAACATTTATATGAAAATATTAATTCAACTGGAATTTTTCATTCGCAATAATAAAATACAGGTGATGTCATAATCTCATTTTCATAACGATTTATAATCAGTCTTCTCTAATTTAATTACTAAATATTTCTAAATTTTCCATGAAAATTGATTCTTCTGCGATATGTGTAAGAAATTTGACATGAAAATTGAAAATAAAAAGATTGCACAAAAGGTTATTTATAAAGGTTATTTATTGTTCAGCATAAGACTTATTTGGGGAATAAAGAAAAAAGAAAAAAGAAAGTGATTTCAGAGAAAAAACTTTAAATTTTATACCGTCTTTCAGTTGCATTGGGCAAGCTTTAATTGCTGAAATTGGACCACCACAGTAAGCAATACAACCATTAATAATGTTGTCTGAAGCATCTGTGAGTAGCTCCATTCCAGTGATCGACTTTCTTAAACATAATTACTTTGTAATAGCCGACTCAGAAATAGAAACAGCGGTATTTATAACCGAAAGGAAAATTTTTGTAATTTTGAATAAGCGAAAGTAGAATGAATTTTTTTTAGACTGAATTTAATTATTATTAGATTAATTTTAAATCTAAAAACTCCGTCAAATTTCCCTATTAACTGAAACAAATAAATCCTAAAACAGCAGCAAATTTAACTGAGAAAAAGATGGTCACTTTTTCGGAATTGTATGCCTAAATTTCTTCGGAAAAAAAACAGGTAATCGCTCGGGTTGATGGTGCGACGAATCATCACTGTTTTCCTTAAGAAATGCATGCGATTTTACAGGTACGGAACGTTTTTGAAGCAATTTTTTTAAAATGTTGCTGAAATTGGAATTTTCAATTGAATAATGATGGAGAAATCAAAAATAAATAAAGGATAAAAAATAAATGAATAATCATAATTTATTTATAAAAATTTTATGATAAACTAAATTTAAACTCATTTGAATATTTAAATATTTTATATCAAATATTAAAATATTAAAATCAGAAATAAATCCAAAATCTGCAAGTTTCAGTCAACTCCTACCAAAATCCAGAAGCGAATATTCTTTCCCACGGTCCATAACATCCCGCTTCAAACAGTTTGGAACAATGTGGTTCCTTTGAGCGTTCCAAATCATAGCTTTCTAAAGCTTTATTAATGGAACGCTGATAATATATAAGATCTGGAGTTGAAGAAGACTCTATAAACACAAAAGATAAAATTTAGACAAAAAGATTTAGATAAAATTAAAATTTTAGTAGATTCTTTTTTGACGATATCTTTTCATTTCAAGATGCAAATTAAAATGCAATTAGAAACATTCAAAAAATTCAAAAATTTAATTTTAAAAACGAGAATTTTCAATGAGACTTTTTTTAAATGAAAGAAAATGAAAAAAAACCACTAATGTCCATTACGGCGCCATATCTAAATTTATAGCGTTTTTTTCCATATGTTGTTGAAGTGCACCGACTGTTTGCAGGTAGAATGCCCCGAGATACAGAAGCAGTGAAAGAATTTCTTTCCTTTAAGTGAAAAACGTAAATCCTATCTATTTATTTAAAATCAAAATATGATTGAAAAGCCTATTTTTTACAATAAAAAAGAAAATTTTTACAATTTTTTGGCTGTCTTTAATATATAGAATGATATATAATTGAGAAAAATTTATAAATATTTTACCTTTATAACGGAAGAAGAACCACTTTCATCCACAAATTCATTATCACTATCGCGATTTAGTTGGAATTTGTTTTTGGCTCGACTTATTCTTAAAATAAATAAAATAATAAATAAAATAAAAAATAAAGAGGTCAAGAAATTATGGTTTAAAACAATTTAGAGCTTTTAATGTTGATTTTTTTATTTTGGGAAAAGAAATTACTTTCGTAAAGTTTTTAGGAATTTTCGTTTAATTCATTTTTCAGTCCAATGAACATCTCAGCTTTGAAATACTTATTTCTGACATACGACTGAAAATACCATACTTTATGCTACACTTTTTTGAAATTCTATTTTGGAAAAAAATGGATAAATATTTACTTTTCAGGTTGTTGTAAACTAGAAAGCGTTGCACCATGGCACTCATCTAAATGGTCTCTACTTTCAGGAATCGTCGACTGAAATCCACAACGGTAACATTTCCAAGGGCAAATCTAAACCAATGATCAGAAAATTTTTCACTGTTTTATTCTTGTAATAAAAATATTAAATTCATTGAGTAAATATACAGAGAACTTTTAAAAGATGGAATATTTTTTTATGATAATATAATGAATAAAAAAGCAAATTTTCCTCAGTAGATAAATTCGCAGTTGCAAGTGAACATAAATTTATAAAGTTCAAGTTTATATACAAGGTTAAAAGAGTAAGCACTGAACAAATCAAAGAAAAATTTAAAAATTTCTTAAATTTACCAGAAGATAATCAATTTTAGAGCAAAAACTGCAAATATGACTAAAATTTCTACAACCTTCTTGTCGACGCCACATCGTTCTAGATGATATGATAGTCCGTTAGGATAAGAATATATGTTATTGCATCCTGCCGAATCTCTATTGAAACAAGGCACACTTTTAATTAAACGAAACGCATCACGAATAATACGCTGCTGATCTCTCCTTTCCATTGCTCGAAATTCATCAGGTTTTCCCTAAAATCTCAAAATTTTTAAAGTCTGACTACATATGCCATTTTTTATTATTCATTAATTATTCATTAATTATTTATTTATATCATTAATCAATTATTATAGAAATAGAAATAAATAGAATTAATTATTATAGAAATCATGCTCTAAAAAAAAGATAATAAGATAATAAAGATAATAAATATAAATATAAGGTAATAATTCTGAAATAAATAACTTGAATAAAGAAAACAACTTTAATTTTATAATAACAAAAAAGAGAAATACTTACAAAATATTGAAAATAAATAGGTAGGAGACATTTATCAAGATGTTCAGCTGCTTCATTAGTTTTTCGAAATTTCTGCTCGCACTTACCATTCAAGCATTTGATAGTATGATTCTTACTCGATGAAAGTGCAACATCAATAAGACTGTATTTCTCTACATTTGAAAGAATTGACCAACTACGAGCATTATCCTAAAGCTTACCTCACTTTCTATAATACTCAAAGGTTTAAAGGCGTAAACTACATGAATCTGATGAACAAAAGAGATATATGCTGATTTCATTTTAAAATAAGGAATTTTCATCTTAGATTTTTTTGATTTGGAAAAAATATTCGCCAAGATCAGTGTTACCTTTCATCAACGTAAGAAAACGAAAAATTTTCGAAACAAAAAAAAAAAAAACAAAACCATGTAAGCTGCATAATTATCAAATTTTGTGCATTGTTTTGAAGCCAATTTAGATGGTTTCCGCTTCGATTTACTCTTCGCTTTTATTACGGAACTCTGAAATAACTTGAATAAAGAAATAACTTTATGACAACTAGCAATTTATTTTTTACTTTATTTAACTAACAGAAAATTCTATCAAAAAAAGAAAAAAGAATATAAAACTAAAATATAGAGAAATAATTACATAGAGCACCCTTGTATAGGCACGACTTATGGTAATAAGAGAAGAAGAACGAAAGAGGCAGGCGAGACCCGCAGTCTCCTCAGATTAATTTCTGATGGAACTTTTTGAAGTGAAAGGGACAATAAATGAATTTAAAAGGGTAATTAAGGGACGTTTGGAATATATGAATTAATACTTTATACAATTATATATAATTTCGCATAGTTTATACATAGTTAATACGACTTTTTGCAAGCCATGAGCCGCCTTGTCCGATAAACGAAATAATAGATGCTAGAGAGCTATCCCATTGCTTAAATTTAAGCCTCCTTTGTTTTTTAACTCTTTAAGTCTATACTGCTTCCACATAGATAAATCCTAAATACTGTTGAAATATTAAAGAAATTCAGTGATATATATTAAACACATCAATTGAATGAACTACGATTTTAAAAACATTGAAATCTGAAAAGAAAATATGAGGTTCATGGAAAGCAATTAACTCGATATTTAGCCAAGGTGTAAGATTTTTGACAAAATATTTTGAATGACATCGAAAAATTTCCATTCATTACAACGGACCGAGGGTACCTTGAAGGGTGTATGCATTTTCTTCCAGACAAATATTAAACTACTAAATCACAACGAATAAATAAATAAGTAAATTAATAGAACATGTAGAACATCTGAAAAATATTTGTTCACGTTCCAAAGTATATAAACCAGATACTGATAATTCCTAGATTTCACTCTTATAAACTTCCAAATAAGCAATTATTCCTAATTCCCTTTTTTTCATGATATAAAGACTGCATAAATTTTTTTTTTGCTTAAAATAAAATGAATGTTTCAGAATTCAAAAGGTTAATTAATCCAAATGTTGCAAATAATTTATGATCAATTTTCTAATGCTATTCCATTTCTCTTCTTCCAGCAGCAATCGGTAAATATGGCTCCATTTTATTTGACTTAATTCACTGCTGTGGTTAGTACCACACTATATATGAATAGAACAATAGTTGGCACCAGCACCATTTCATTTTTAATGACTCTTTTTAATTCCATCTCGTCGAAGGACAAGAACAAACCCATTATGCTTGAATATACACCAGCATATCAACCGAGCATTTTTCGTCTCTTCTAAGCAATTGATTTCAGCATGTAAATGATTTGCACCCATTTCATCTGGTTAAGCTCCAGATGAGAAATTTTTGCCTTCGGGAACATAGAAAATAAATGAATATCAAATTTATATCTACCCAAGATTCAATATCAGAAAAATATCAGAAAAATAAATTACAGCTAATTTTGGAGTATTTTGTCGTTGTCCATAGCTGGCTGGCTTCTTATCATTGGCTTGCGCCTTCATAATTTATGTAAGCACCTGAAATGTTGGGAAGTTTTGCATATTTCTTACAGTTTAACGAACAGACAATCAAAAACTACGGTAAATTCACGTTATATCTATGGTACGCGAGATTTTGCTCTTCCATTTTTCGGTTCCATTTCTGCAAAACTTTTTAAGTACAATAATTTCTTTTTTTGCCAATTTAAGCTTGTACCTCTTCTCTTCTCTAATCTTATAGATTCTCTCACCTCTATAGGTTTTCACCGAGAATTATATCAGTCGTCAGTAAAATGGTGCTGCCGAAATTTCTAAAGCAAAGAGAGTAGGAAAAATCGGATTTGAAAAATTATAAAAATTAGAAAAAAACTATGAAAGCTTCTGAAAAATTCTTTACAAGATCGACCAAATGTATTGCCGAGCTTCCCCGTGAATTTTTTCCTACTTTCTTCAAGTGAAATGCATCACAAAATTAAGCAATCGATAAGTGAAAATCTCCTAAAATTTGGCCAAAAATTTCCTTCAAAAAGCCTTATTTCTATAAATAAAATATTTCCAAAAACATTGAAAATATTCTAATCGAATGATTTAAACATTGTTAGTAAATGCTAAAAATTAATCGAAATCAAAAAACAAATTCAAAATATTAGAAATTTTTTCGAAAAATGAAAAAACCAAAGCAAATTCGCTAATCGCCAATAAACCTAATAAAACGATTTAAATTGAATTTAAAAGTTATGCAGAAAAAACCGTTTTAATGTTTTCGTTTTAAGACGCGGAATATTGAATTCATAAACTAGCATTTTAATTCGGACATTTCTTCGATAATTTATGGGAATTTCCTTTGAGAACATTTCATTCTGCAATCGGTTACATTGATTCGAGTTTGATCGATCGCTAATTCGGGGTCAAATGGTGTCATTTCATTATCAGGTCAAATGACGTCATCTCATTGTCACCTATTTCCAATATTGTTTTGCTAGTCTTTTAGTCCATTTTACTTTATTTTTAATGTGTAGTTTAGAATTTAAAAATTTATTAGTAGTATGGCTCGTATCTTCAACAATCTGCCGAAGTTTGCGGCACTGTTCTCGCCAAGTCGCCATTCTCTTCCCTGAAAACCCCCTTCTCTCTCATCTCCCCCAACATCTTCAGCTGCCTCACTATTTATGGTTCAATTGCTTTTGACGAGGTATGGAAAAACCATAATAGTAGATGGTGTTGAGGAGATATAATAATATTATGCAAAAAGGCAAAACATGACTTTAATTTTGTAAAAGAGAGATGTTAGGACGATATGCGAGATTTTTCACAATTTTCATGACCACATTTTGGAGAGATTAAAATGCATCAAGTACGAAGTAAGAAATCTAAGACTTGTTTGTAGTATTAATATTTGCCATTATCCGAGTTCTAATTCCATTTCTCGAGTGGATCCAAGAAGTTTAGAATCGGGCATTTCACCAGCGGGCGATGAAGTGGTATAAACAGGTGTCTTTACAGTCCAGTTTCGGACGATATATAAGGCGAAGAGGCTTTCTTTTTATTTACACTGATCATGAATCTGAGTTTCGCTGCAGGTGTCGACACATTATTTAGCATTATTTGCATTTCATAACTGTCAGCAAAAAGGACTGCATAATCACCGTATTCAAGATCTGTGATACGATGCTCTGGATTGATTTGGACACCTCTTGAATGCCGACAAGCGTTGTCTATTATCCAGTCTATCGCATAATTGAATATTGTAGAGGAAAGAACGGACACTAGTTCTCATTTCGAAAGAATCTGTCGCTATATATACAGATTTATCCGATGTACGCTGGCAAAATGCCTTTATGAGTCGGATGATCTTCTCTCACATTCCATCACTTTCAAAAGTGCCATTATATTAATTAAATCGAGGGCTGCTGTAAAATCGAAGAAACAAGTGATAGCATTTAAAGCAATATTTTAATATTTTTCTTAGTATAAGTATTTGGTCAACAAATCCACTAACTGGTCTGAGTCCAGCTTAGTAAGGGCGCTAATCCTACTGTCTCGTCATAGGTTTATTCAGCAAAAGGCAAAAATTTTCCTAAAGATATCTGGCAGATATACCATGATATGTATACCATGTTACATCTTGTCACCTTTCTTAGAGATTAAAAGGAGGATTGCTTTGTTATAGTCATCTGATACTTTTTCTTTCCGGAAATGTTGTTAGCAGTCGAAGTTCCGTATAAAAATTATTTCTGCAAAGTCAAACAAATTATGATTGAAAGGTTGTAGAACTTTCTTCTGAAACTGTCGTAGATCCTGTGTTAATTAACTTGGTCTACACACAATCAGAGTTGATTGAAGACATGATAATCACTACACCATTTCAGAACAGTTGCTTGAGATCCGGAATGAGGAAGATGGGCTTTCAACATGCAAGTGATTTACACATAATATTTGTATAAAGTATGGATGATTGTCGCTGATTCCCAATTTCCATGAGTAGAGCATTCTGAGCACAGAGGTAATTGTCAGTTGTTTATCTTTTCTTGGAGTAGTATGTCTCAGCGAGTTGTTTTTATTTCGAAGCATTGACGCGTGGCTCCGTGCAAGTATTTTTTGGGCCAGCAAATTTAATCAGGAATGATGAGCGTTCTTAGAAAGAAAAAAAAAGAAAAAAACAGATTTTGAACAGTTATCTCGGTTCGAGAGCACACTTCATTTTGATCAATTATCATTTGATAAGAGTGATTCGTACATTTATTGCATATACTACTGAACTAGGAGTATTACTTGTGAAGTGAGGTCATTTCGATTTGCTTCATGATTTTTCAGAATTACCTTAAATTTGAAATTAGAATAATGAGTAAATCCATTTTTTTAGCGAACACCTCAAGCAACAAATCTTCAGACATTCTCCATGTTCTTAATTCATTTCGTTTATATCATATCTACAGTACTAATCATCTCGGAACAAGGTTTATTTTTTTAAAAAAATTTTCTAAAAATTTTGGTAAAATTTTGTTTTTATGTTTATTTATCACAAGCATGAAATTTTTTTCTTGAAAAATTTTTTCTCGAAAAATTTCCTTTTTTTTGAAGATTGTTGAATAAAATATAAAAAATAAGCTGAATGATTAATTGTTGGAGTGTTTACATGGAAAGGTAAGATTATAATCGAAAAGGTAAAACGCATTATAAAGTTAAAAAAAAACATCTTGATTTACCAATATTTGGTACACTGGTTTATCTGGTTTAAGGGAATATTAACTAGTGTTTTCCCTAGATTCTATCGATTAACGCTCATTTAAATCCATGTTCTATGGATTTTGGAATTAATATTATGATTTTTAGGTGATAGCATTGTAATAGATTACAGTGATGAATATTATCATTTTTGTCACATTTCTATCATATATATTTCTATCAACATTATTATAATTATTTTCATTATTATACCTTCATCTTTATTATCATCGTCATTCTTATTGTCATTCACTACTGTTATCATTTTAATATTATTATTTATCAATATAAATTATTATTATTTATTGTCATTATTTTTCATTATTATTACTGTTGTTATTACTATTATTATTATATCATTATCAATTATTATCATTTATCACTAATTATTATTATTAGTTGCTATTATTGTTATTTATTATTATTAATATTAACTGTTATCATCAAATGTTGTTAATTAATTATTATTATTAGTGTGATTACAAATAATTGATTTTAGCGAATTTTATGGGTGGAATACCAGTCCCTGGTCGCACAGTACCTACTACTCGAATCTTTGAGTTATATATTTCATCATGTGTACCCAGTTCAAAAAAATCTGCTACCCTCGATTATATTAATAATGTTCGTATCGAATATTTCAGTGAGCAGAATCCGATCATCATTTTTTCAATTTAAAAATTATTTTAATAAAAATTTTTCCCTCATTTTTTTAAAAATACTAATCAGTTTCTAAAAATTTTGCATAATTATTATAAACTACGGATTGTGTAGATTTTCAATATGTTAATATTTTTTCATTTCATTCTTTAGTTACTTGAAAATTTTGATTCGGAGGAACTTGCGAATAAAATATATAATTCGTTATTTTATGCAGTTGGTGATGTAGATCTCAAAAAACTTATGGGAAAATGGTTTACAGTTAGTTTTTCTATTTATCATTATCATTCTTGCTAAACTGCTAATTTAAATATTTATATAAATTAATATAAATATTTAAAAATATTTTAATTTTAGATGAAATCAGTATTAAATGAAAAATATTACAGGTGATCACAACTCCGAATTTATATTCTCGAAATTGTATTATAACTTATTGTATGTTTTTCTTATATTTTTAAAATTTTTTAAAATAGGAAATAAATAGATATATTATTAACTAAATTCATCATTGGTTTGATTTTGTTGGAAATAAACTCGATTTTAGATGAATTAATTAATCAAGACCAACACACTGGGACATTCACTACTAAGCAATATTCAAAAAATAATGATGATATATTAATAATCGAAGGACATGGGAAGAAAATTGGGTCCGACCCAGGAGAACTGCTAATAAATTTTGGATATCCAGATGATCCATGTCCTTGTGAGTCAATTTTTTTTCATATTTGCAAATGGAGATACCGTGCTTTATTATGCAGCATAGAATGTTAACGTTATCTCCGGTCAGATTGACTCCGTTGGCTGGCTGTTAGTTCGATGAAATTTGTTAGGAAGTCATCTGGCGATAGAAGTGTAGATGTATTGCAAAAATTTTAAGTGACAGGCTTGTTCCTGGTAGGATCTAAACTGTGATGCTTGATCCGATAATCTGACAGTAACCACTTGGCTATCTTGCTATTCTTGGTGAAAACGTAATAAGACTAAGTGCCATAGGGCGATTGAGCAGGATATCTTGCTCCGATTGGATTTGATTGTCCTATTCTGCCTTGAGAAATGCGAAACCATAGAATAAGAATGGAAGGTTCTAAGGTCTTACTTTCTATTTCTAAGTCAAAGTTTTTCTGGCTAAGAGGTCTCACTTTAATGGCCAATAGTTCTAGCTAAAATAGAAATTAGTAATATTATTAGAAGGTATATACAAATTTATTGTTGCGTAACTTCAAAGGAATTACTATTAGCGTGACAATTTAAATGCAGATTCCACAGTTAAATATATATTATATAAATTATATATATATATATATTATATAAATAAAATGTATTTCGATATAATATAATAGGAGAAAATTATATGTATAGGTGATAATAGGAAACTGTTTCGCCTTCTTCGCAAAGCAACTATAACTCGAGAAGAGGTTAGTGAAATAGTACGGGATATTAATGGGGTGCCTATTCAAGCTGTCAAAGTTCGTTTCAGAAAATAGAAAGAATTTTTTGAGGCCAAACTTAACCACGATGCACCATATATTATCCTGAATATAGCTGATTTGTCCGCCGAGCCTTAAGTTTACAGTTCTCAGCCGCCAACAGAGGAGGAAATACTCTCTATAATCCGTAGGCTTAAGGCTAATAAAACTCCCGGAGAAGATGATCTTCGGGCCGAACTCTTCATATGTTGACCATCATCGTTCATAACTCACCCTCCAACAAATGCATTCTTTGGTATGGCAAAAACCATAATACCATAAGACTATAGTAAAGCAATTTTCGTTCACATTCCTAAAAAAAGCAATAGGACAACAACCTAGAAATCAGCCTATTGGACATCTCCGGAAAAATTTTCGCTTCCCTTCTGCTAAATAGACTCATGGCAACACGAGATAGAATGCGTCCTTACCAAGCTGGATTCAGGCCGGGACGCGGTTGTGCTGACCAGATATAGAAGTATGCTGGAACATCGCTTCAAATATCAGCAACCCATGCTTTATCGATTTTGCTTTCGATTCGATTGATAGAGCAGCGCTCTGGAAAGTGATGGAATGTGACGGGTTTATCAGCATACCCTAGCGCAAATCTGTATATGGGGAATTGACAGACTCCTATGAAATAAAAACTGGTACGTCAGGGCTGCGTCCTTTCCTTCACAATATTCAACTATGCGATAGACTGGATAATGGGCATCGCTTGTCGGCGCTCATGAGGTGTGCAAATCAGTCCAGAATATAGCATCATAGACCTAAAATAGGCTGATGACGTAGTCTTTTTTGCTGATAATTATGAGGAAATGCAAATAATGTTAAACAATATGTCAACAACTGCAGCGAGAATATCAAAATCAGTGTAAGTAAAACGAAAGTATTTTCGTTTTATATACAAGAAGCTGATAAAATACCTATTTTAATCAATTCATTGGAGAAATGCTGGACTTTAAATACCTTGGATCCACTCTAATCAGAAATATCTAGGCAAAGGATGAAATCATAACACGGATAACGGCAGTTAGAATTATGTTTTCCGGTTGATGAAACATTTATGGAACCGTTGCGAAATCACCATGAAGACGAAAATCAGCGTCCATATAACTGCAATTCGTTCGATCTTGCTATATGGCGAAACATGACCAATGAAAGTGGAAAATATTAAGAGGCTATTAGCCTTTGGCCATTTATGTCTAAGGGTCTAAGGTACGGTATGTTCTGCGGATCCACCGAGCAGATAAAATCGCGCAAGATTCGGCAAGTATCCATTTTCGCTCAAATACCACCTGTATTAATAATATTATCACAGAGCGTCCCCTTCGCTGGTTAGGGCACGTTCTCTGTCGTCCACCATAGGAGTTGACGCATATTTCGCTAATTGCCTAATCCTGTGATGGTTGGCGTCAAAAGCGAGGAGGGCCAATCAGGACCTGGACTGATACAGTCAGGAAAGATTTTGAACGTATAGGAGGATCAGCGATATATAGACTTAGACGATGGAAAGAGGAATTGCTTCTATCACTACTAGCGATGGCCTCGGAGTGGGCATCTTACTCTCGTAGCCAGCGGAGCCAGCCCAAGCAGTAATGGTGAGAGCCATTAGAAGAAGAAGAATTCACACAGAGAAATAGCATGCACTACAATTACACATACACTACAAAACACACACTTTGCAAAACGCGCACACATGCGCACACCGCAAAACATACACACTTAATCATTACATTTATTTGATTTGTTACAGAAAATTTATATTAATTGGTTTAAAAATTTTTTGGTTTTCAAATCTTTATAATGTCACAATTCTAAAGCAAATCCTTTTTTTGAAGATTCGATAGCAAAAAATGGTCCTATTAATGAAATGGGTTTATACGATTATATTATCTTAACACAACCATTAAAAACTCCAACAATTGTTCTCGCTCGTGATATTTTGGCTTTCGAAAAAAAATATAAAAATGAGGTTATTTTTTAGTTGTTCGAACTTTCATTTATTTGACCACTAATATCTAACATTCAGTTCTACTTCATCTTTTCAGTTTCAATTTTTTACCGCAATTTTAAGACAAAAAATCACAAATTGAAAATTAATTTTATTCAAGCAATCTAAATATTTGTTCGTCTAGCCAAAAAATTAATCACATAATTTTTAGGTGAAAGAATTTTTGGTGAAACACGGGTTCTGGAATCCTGTTGTCTCGCTCAACTACAACAATGATGTTCTTGTTTTTTCCAATGCATCGGCATGTTTAATACAGCCTTATTGATGCTGTGAAAGTTTTTTGCTGTTTACTATAAAATTACCTATTAAAAAACCTGTCAATCATGGAATCGGTTTTAATGGTAGAAATTGGAATTAAAGTAGAAGTTAGATAGAATTATGCCCATGAAAAATCTAATGATTAGAATTTGCGATGCAGTTATCACGTTGGGCTAAAATTGTGAATTAAGCCGTTAAGGTCGTTGATTTATTACTTAGCATTTGCTTGTCCAGATAAACTTATCTAAAAAAAAAGTTATAATATATGCAAATTAAATTTTTCTTAATTTTACAGATTATATTCACAACATTCTGATCATTGAATGCATGTTATGTAATATGACCCTTTTCTCGCCCAATGTGGGTGGTTTGGGTTATCCTGAGTCCCTGGTCCTCTATCAGAAACCTGGGAGCTTGAGGGGGGGAGGTAATTCTACGCATATGTAGTATCTTTAGCTATCTCTTACGATTCTTTCTTCTAATCAGAGATCTCTGATCTATCACCACTTGGCCTTTACTTTCCACATCTCTAATTTGCCTTTCAACTCCTAATTTCCCATATTCCTTTCCTGATGTTTTTGTACTATATCTACCACTATGCCCATCATTGCTGATTTCCTGATTGCATACATTATATATAATGTGTATACCATATATATTCTTGATCAACCACTGCAAAATGTGAATAAAATAAATCAGTTTTCGAAGGAGAAATAGAAATAGAACAGTTTTTCTTGCTATATATATATATATGGAAAATGCAGTGAATTCCCTTTGATGTCGTTGAAATTTTGATTTTTTCATCAACTTTTTATGAAAATTTTTGATGCTTCTGTGAAAGACAGCTTGAAATCTTTGCGCTTTATGATCACTAAGATTAAAGAGAAGAGAAAGAGAATTGTCGCGATTACAGAGATTCAATGCCGAGTATCGAATATCTTCATTCATCGATTGTATCATGTTGAACAGTCGAAAGAACGGTCACGACATAGGCTCTTCCACAGTTTTATATAAAATTTTTTCGCAAATGTCCTGTTGAGAAAAGTACACTTTGTTCTGTTTTATTAAAAGTTATTTTAGCGTTAAAATTTCCATATCGGTGCATTTTTCCAGTTTTATCTCCTTTTCTTCTTTTCTTTTTCTTCTTTCTTCTAACTGCCCTCACCATTACTAGTTAGGCTGGTTCCAACGGCTATAAGGGTAAGACGCTTCCAGGCTTCCAGGCGGCGCGGTCTGATACTATCGTCGACAGTAATGGAAGCCATTCCTTTTTCCATCGTCTAAGTCCAAATATTGCTGGTCCACCTATACGTTCAAAATCTTTTCTCACCGTATCAGTCCAGGTCTTGATTGTCCCACCTCGCTTTTGACGCCAACCGTTACACAGTTTAGCAAATAACGAAATATGCGTCAACTCGTGTGGTGGACGACGGAGAATGTGCCCTAACCAGCGAAGGCGGCGTTCAGTGATAACATTATGCAAGTGGTATTTGAACGAAGGTGGATGCGATGTAGTGAGATTTTATCCACTCTTTTTTCACTAAACTGAATCGTATAGTGGACATAGAGTCGTGATTGCGGAAATTTTCATGTTTCACTACTGAATTGCTGAACAATCCGCGATTTGGTCGCATTCACATTATTTTCTAGTGCAATAGTAATTATTGTTATTTTAAATAATATTGTTTTAAATAGAATTTTTTTGGTTTTTTCAAACTAAATTCTTTTTTTCAGTTAGATTGAAAAATTTAGAAGCAAAATTTCCACTTATTTTTCGTTTTTTACGGAAAATCAGAATAAACTATCATTTAGCCTTTTAAATAATGGATTTTTACCAGTTCTGGTCATGGTTTTTTCCTTTGCTTTTCCCTACCAAATTTTTTTCACCATTGCTCACCATTTCATGTCAGGTTGACTCATCTGCTTTGCTGGACAAATTTTTGCTTCTAAATTTTGACAAAGAGTCACTTAGAGTCACGCCGATAAAATAACAGATGGAAGGACAATACCTGAGTTTTTAAGAGATAGGTTTGCTGCTGGGAACACACCTTAACATTGGCTCTTCGAAGATACGCTACAATTTGTGTGGAGCCATTCTGGTTCTACAACTCCAGGAATATGGCCAAAAATATTGAAGAAGTGAAAACACCATATCGGTGTCGATCGCCCACTACACTAAGCCGTATATATATGCGATCAGAAACAGCAGCAAATTTTTACATTTCGCAAATTTTAAATTCATTTTTTTCAGCTCAATATTTTTTTGATAAAACTATCATTTCACAATGCCATCTTCGATAGTAATAAAAACCACTCATTTTCCCATCGTCTAAGTCCGTATATTGTTAATTCACCTATACGTTCAAAATCTTCCCTGACCGTATCAGTCCAGGTCTTGATTGGCCCACCTCGCTTTTGACTCACCCATCACACTGATTTAGCAAGTAACGAAATATGCGTCAACTCCCGAAATAAGTAAATAAGTAGGAGAACGCGCCTTAACCAGCGAAGGCGATGCTCTGTGATAATATTATTAATGCAAGTGGTATTTTGACGAAGGTGGATGCGATCATGCCATATTTTATCCGCTTGACGGATCCATAAAAAGTACCTTAGATAAGAGTGGTCAAAGGCAGATAACTTCTTAATATCCTCCATTCTCATTGGCCATGTCTCAGAGCCATATAGCTAGATCAAACGAATTACGGCTATATAGATGCGGATAGATGCGGACTTTCCTTTTTATGGTGATTTCATGACGCATCCATAAAATTTTCGTCAACTGGAAGAACGCATTTCTAGCTGTCATTATCCGGGTTACAATTTCATTCTTTGCCTGGCCATTTGCTAATAGAATAGACCCAGGATTTAAAATCGGGCACTTCCTCAACGGGCAACGAATTTATAAAAGGGGCATTTGAGGGCAAGGAGCACATAAGACGAGAAGTTTATTTATTTAAGTTTAAGAAGAGAATATTTGTTTGTTCAGTTTATTCATTTAAGTTTATTTATTTATTTAGTTTTATTTACATTGATTCTGATTCCGATTCTCGCTGCAGTTGCTGACACGTTATTTAGCATTATTTGTCAGCAAAAAGGAGCACATTATCAGCGTATTCAACATTTGTGATACGATGCTCTGGACTGATTTGGGCATCTTTTGAATGCCGACAGGCAATGTCCATTATCCAGTCTATCGCATAGTTGAATACTGTAGAAGAAAGGACACCAGTTCTTATTTCGAAGGACTCTGTCAGCTCCCCATATACACAGATCTGCGTCGACGTGCGCTCATAAAATGCCTTTATGAGTCGAATCTTCTCTGGAACACCGTCGCAATGCATCACCCTCCAGCTGCTCTATCAATTGAATCAAAGGCAGTAGCAAAGTCGATGAAACACGAGACAGTAGGTTGCAAATCTAAAGTGATATTCTAACACTCTTCTTAACGTGAATATCTGGTTAGCACAACCGCACCTTGATCTAAATCCAGCTTGATTAAGGCTTATCCTGCTGTCCCGTACTTCCATAAGTCTGTTGAGTAGCAGGGCAAAGATTTTCGTTGAGGCGTATATTAGGCTGCTTCCTCGATAGTTGTCGCAATGTTTCCTATCATCTTTCTTGAGAATTAGGAGCAGAATTGCTTTGCTGCAATCATTTTTTTTTTCCCCTACTGGAGAGTACATTTGTGCGTTATGAAGAATGATGTACAATATTGAAGAGAGTTCAGCCCGAAGACCATCTCCCGGAATCTTATTGGCTTTAAGCTTATGGATAACGGAGGGTACTTCTTCTTTTGTTGGAGGCCCGCAATTGCGAGTTTGGCGAATGTATCAGCTATATGAGGGGCAACAGATAGGGCTTTATGGTTAAGTTTGGCCTTAAAGAATTTCTTCCATCTTATGAGGAATCCTTAATATTCTTGACTGGCACGCCATTGCTGTCCCTTACCATTTCACCGATCATTCCCTGAATTACAGATGCTTTATGAAGAAGGCGTAGTTTCCTATTACCGCCTAATCGAGCCGCCGCCTCCATTCTCAAGGCCATGTCAATCCAGTAGTGATTTCTATCCCGTCGTGCGTCCTGTAGTCAGGATCACCTGACATTCGGATATTCATGCTTTGGCAGTTTTTTCACAGTTGGACAATTGTTTCCGATACCCAACTAACGCACTTCCTACTACTATGCCTTAGCGTGGAAGTGATTAAGTGACTTTCTGACATTCTTTTAATTTAGACCAGTATTCATTTTCCGATCCAGAAAAATCGATCCGATCCATTGAAGTCAAAGTTATTTGTATCATTGAGATGCTTCATTTGGTTTGAAATGCTTCCTGAATTTTTCAGTTTGAGATAATTGAAAGATCTTGGAGATTTTAGTAGTCATTTTTATGCCTATCTTGGCTCGGACCACAACAAAGTCAGATCCATGAAGATTATCCATTTGAAGCGCCGTGATAGGAACGATTATTTAACACGGAACTATTCCAACGGTGTCTGATTAAGAGATAATCAATCTGGTTGTAGTGTTGGTGATCCGAGGAGTTCCACACGACTAGATGTTTTTTATGATGCCCGAAGCAAGTATTAATAACAAAAAGTTCATGCTCTTCGGCATAACGAAGAAGGCGATTCTCAGTGGTTTACCGGTCCAGGATGCCATATTTCCCAATTTTCGAAGTCATCGCAGCGGCATTATGATCTACGCGAGCACTCCAGTCTCCCCCGATTATGATCATGTCGGTACTTTGTTAGCAGTTGAAGTTCCGCATAGAATTTATCATGGTCATTTGCCGATAAAGTTGGAGCATAGACATTGATGAACAACATTCATATATCATATTAACATAGACACTGATGACCGAGATATTTCAGAACTTACCTTTAAAATGGGCATAGACCATACGGTTGCTTACCGGCTACCTCTCAATCAACGCGGAATACGGCTAATACCTCGCTGCGCGTGCAGAAAGCTGTTTCCCTTGGTAGATTTCGAGCAATTAACCTGGCTTGCGAACATATTTTATTTATCTGTCTTGTTGTTACTTGGATTGTATGCTTATCGTATGTGGGCTAGGAATATTATACGCGTGGGAAGTCGCAGAATAGCTAACCTTTTCACCATATAGTCACTTTGGGATAGAGTTATAGGTGCGTTCCCAGCAACCACTTGAATTTTTGACAAGACAGGTTTTCTCCTATCAAAGACGAACATAATTATAAAACTTTATCGTTCTTCTCCAGTTTAAATTATTGATGAATCAAAAGTTATTGTCTGTTTGCTCTTATCAATACCCAGACATATTTATTTCACAGATTTTCTAAATTTACTGCTGATAAACTCATTATAACATGAGGTCAAAAACACTTTATTTCCAAACATCCATTGTTTACCTTCGAATTTATTGTTACCATGGAGTTGAAAAATTAATACATTCTTACTCTCATGCAAATATTGATTAATTGATTCAATATTTTTATGTTGATTATGGTACTTTGATCAGTATGGATGATCAATATAAAGGTTTTAACGATTATAATTATGCGTACGATACACAGGTTGAAACTTGATTTTTATTATTGAAAGCAATTTTTCATAATTTCTCATTATTATTGAAAAATAATACAGTTTATTTGCAAATTGAAATTGAAAAATTATAGCATGTTCTCGGCGATAAAACATTTCAAGATGCGATTGCAAGGTCAAGTTTGGGTCGACGTTCAGTGAGTTGAATATCAATTTATATTTTCTTCTTGTTCCCCTTATTTAAAAAATTTGAGCCTATGGAATCCGTTATTTTTATTTATCATTCTAAATAAGATGAGTTTACTGTTTCTCTCTCGGAGACAAATAGAGACCAGCCAAAATCTTTAATATTATTTCATTGCAATCTAATCACTTCAAAATAGTGATTAAAAATAGTATTCCTTTCCCTAGAAAAATTCGGCGATGCAAACATCTACAGCGCGAATACCTACATCAGATGTTGTAACTTCATCCAGCGGTTTTCGAGGCGTTACAAAGGCTCGCAAAGGAAGCGGAATTACAACAGGAAGCCAACGCGGTGTTGATGCGCCGAGGCCAATGACAGCTGTTCGCGCTGCCGGTTATTCTGGAGGTTATATTATTAATACAAGCAAAAAATTAGATTGAAAAATACGGATGAAATTAAATAAAATTGAAGGAAGCTCATTTGATCCAATGAAAATGGCTTCAATGGAGAAAAAAAGTGAGGAAAGCAGTGAGGAAAAATGTCGAGAAATGGAAAGAAAAGTCAACGATTTAGTGCAGGAAAGCATTCTTGCTTGGAAGAAAAAAGATGCCAAATTGGTCAAATTTTTTTAATTTTTTTTTAAAATTTTAATTTTGTTACTGGAAAATGATCTTTTAAATACTAATAATAAAGTGATAATCACGTATATTTATTAAAAATAATATGATAATAATAATATAATAATAACAAAATAACATATTGATAAATGAAAACAACAATAATAAATAAAAACAATTAAAAAAAAAATTTGATAAAGAATCCTCCAATCAGCCACAATAGTTTTAAGAAATCTTTGAAAATACCGATGAGCCGTAGTGTTATCACTAAATAAATGATTTGAGTAATAATATATATAGCTTTAGCACAAATATGATTTTTATGAAATACTTTATAGGCTTTGGAAAAGGCTAAAGAAGCCGGCAGAAAAGAACGAGCAGTTGTGAAATTACGCGAACAGTTATCAGCCGTTGAACAGCTAAATTTAGATCTTACTTTTACCGTTCTCCTTAATTTAGCTCATCAGGTTAGTCTTATATTTTAATGTATTCTTATTAATATGATAGCAAGAAAATTCCTCATAAAGAGAAAAGAAAAATTTCGAAAGAAAAACGGACGTAAAGCAGAAGAATTTATAGCAGAAAAATAAAAATGAATTTTCAAAATTTTCAGTACATGGAAAATAATCTTCTCAACGAGGCACTGAACACGTATCAAGTGATTGTGAAAAATAAACTGTTCGCGAATTCAGGTCGTTTAAAAGTTAATATAGGCAATATATATTTCAAAAAGAAGGATTATAGCAAAGCTATTAAATATTATCGCATGGCAATTGATCAAGTACCTAGTTCGCATAAGAATATAAGGTGATTTTTCAACATTTTTAAAGCTATTTAATCCAATTTATTTAGGCTTTAATAAATATGCAGTCCTTCTTTTTTGGTTTAAGTATCTTCTTTGACTCTTTCATCTGAGCGTCACTTTAGGATAGAAGTGCGGTTGGGCCTTGAGCATTGGTGGGATTCTACATTTAATGACAAAGCCTACTGCTATCAGACGACACGAATCGAAAACATTATCTTGCCCATTTATATTCGTTGCATTTTATATAATAATTTTTATACTCTTAAAAAGATCGTTAGGATGATTCTATGCGACTTCTGTTTTCTGCCAAATTGGGTATTAAAGTAAAAAGAAAGTGAAGGAATGAAATTGTTGGGGAGGATTTATACCCAAATATTTCTTCGATCCGAATAGAATAGGCGAATAGTGATTTAGATTATCGAAGAAATCGGTTAGTAGTTCTAACAAGAGTAAATCTGTTATTAAAAATTCAAGTTGTGCTCGCGATTCATTTGTACTTTATCATCAAATAACTTTCTGGCCAAAAATTTTCGGCCATATTAAAGCCTAAATGATTTTAAAAGCTTTAAAAGGATTAACCAAAAGTGGTGGACGTAAATCACTTATTTTTACTTAGTTCCTGGGTCTGGTATCTTGTAAGAAATTCATTATGACAAATTCACGTGAATAAACGGATTTTAGAACAAAAATCTTGAATAATATCGGTATTTCATTTATTAAACGTGGTGAATATGAAGAAGCCTTAAATGCATTTGAACAATGTGTAGAAGAAAAAGGTGGCTATGGAACTGCGCTGAATCTGATATTAACACTATATTGCCTGGATGACGCTGAGAAAATGAAAGATGCTTTTCAGCGATTACTGGAAATCCCATTTCTAATTGACGACGATCTCAAATATATGGTATTAACGATAATTCTAAATTTTTCTCAGGGCGGATACAACGTTCATAGAAGCTAATGTTCTCGGTAAAAATTGGTCCACTCCAGTAAATTATCGTCGAATCAAATTGCCAGCAAATTCAATGAGTTTAGAGATTTGCGTTAAGCTAGATTTAATTCTATAAAACAAAATTCTACATGTTTTTCCAGCAATCTGAATGATTTTAAGGATTGCCACAAACAACTCGTCTTTTGACAAAAAATGCATGTAATTTCAATATAATCGGGTAGTATTTTTCAAATTTTCCTTTGCATGTATTTTCTAAGAGAATTTGGAAGATATTTCCAGGAACATCAAAATTTTTTGCTAAATCAAGCAATTAGCAATGATTCTTTAAAGCAGTGGGAACATAAAAGAAGGCAAACTGCTGAATCAACAATTTTAACGGCAGCCCGTATTATTTCTTCATCCATTTCACATAGGTTTTCCAGTTTTATTGCTTGCAAAGTCCACTCTTGAAATTTGGCAATTACTTTCATAAAATCGGACACAATTCGTTTTTAGAAAATAAGAAAGGAATTTTTAGGAATTTAAAAATAAGTTTTTTCAAATCTTTATCGGAATTTCTGCCTTGTTTATGAATATCTTTAATAATTTAGCACAATAAGGCAGAACAATGGTACCAAGTATTAATTTTAATGGCACCAAATTTAGTTACGCCGAAGGATACGCTTGGTGTGTTGAAGTTATAAAGCAATCAGTATATGCGAATCTTGCAATGGAATTAGAAATGAATAAAGCAATAGAGCACCTTCATCAAGGCGATTTAATTGCGGCCAATCAGGTATTTTTTGTCAGACATCATAAGTCTAAAATTACTCTTAAATACATCGTTATATAGTTAGAGCGTTTTCAGTTTTCAATTTTCAAACGATTGCTAGTTTTTCTCTAAAATTGACTAAATTTTCATTCATATGAATGAGTCTCTGTATTAGCCTTTATACTTTTTCAGATTTTAGCAGTATTCAGTAATAAAGACAATAAAGTGGCAAGCGCAGCAGCCAATAATTTAGCACTAATCAGTCTTTTGGTAAATTTCTATAAAATTTAAAAAAATTTAAAAATTGAAAGTATAATTTCATATTTCTATGTAATTTTTCTACTACGGATGCTAATCACCATTATGTATTTTATGTTTCCGTATTATATGCTTTATTTTGCGAACTTTATGTTATTTGGCCTTCATGACGATAAATTCTGAAGTTAATAAATATAGGGTTTTCTTTCTATAATAGTTTATTCCATTATTCCATTATTCCATTATTTCTGCTTCCACTGACCGATGGGAACATCATAATAGAGTTATTTAGGGAAAGAAATGCTGATAGGCTATCAGTACTTCACCTGCGAATAAAATATTGCATTAGTTCACAATAAAAATTGTTATCATAATGTTTATGCTTAACGAGTGGCATTAGATACTGTTTCCGTGCGTACTGGACATTGCAGCTGATATTGCATTCCAGCTCATTTATTTTATGCTTCAAATTCATTTTTGTAGTTGCTTTATTTTCCAGCAAGGTCCAGCAAAAATTGATGATGCGATCCAGTTTTGTGAACAGTCACTTAATCTAGATCGTTACAATCCGAATGCCCTTGTTAATCGAGGCAATATTTTCTTCGTTATGGGCGATTTGGACAAGGCATTTCAGTATTATAAAGAAGCGCTCAATAACGAGGTATGAATGCATTATTCATGCTACTTTTGTAATTTTTTTCAAAACAATAATGATATGATACTAATTACTGATAAATACTAATAAATACTAATTTCGTTGGATACTTTGGTTTTCTAAATAATGAGAACTTGTTTCATTAAGAATTGCATAAAACCCTATAATCCAGGCTTCATGTATTCAAGCTCTCTATAATATGGGTTATGTATGTCGTCTTCAAGGTAAATTAGAAGCTGCTCTCGATTATTTTTACAAATTAAACAACATTCTTCTCAATAATGTCGAGGTACTATGTCAGTTAGCAGCTATGTATGTTTTATTTTTAATTATCTTCACAGCACACTCCAGAGTTTCATGATAAGTTTATTAACTATTTATCAGATACGAATCTTTGGGAGACAGTGCCCAGGCTATTGAATTATATAGTCAGGCTAACAATTTAGCACCAACGGACCCAGCAATTTTGGTGAAATTGGCTAATATTTATGATGCAGAAGGAGATAAAAGTCAAGCTTTTCAATGCCATTATGATGTAACTTTTTATTTTTTCCTTATTTTTCTTCAAAAAAAATTATGATGTTATTTCAATATGTATGCTTTGTTTAATCAAAATGTAAGGCAAACTATTCTCATAGTCATTGTTTTTACATTAGCCAAAATCCATTATTACGAAAAAAACCTTGAATTTAAGATGTGAATGACTCAAAGAAATATTCTGCTGAATTATAAAACTATTTTTTGAAATAGCTAATTAAAGAAAAGTGGCAGTTTATTTCTTTCAGAGCTATCGATATTTCCCTTCAAATATTTCCGTGATAAAATGGTTAGGAGCTTATTATATTGATGCACAGTTTCCTGAAAAAGCCGTACTTTATTTCGAAAAGGCAGCCATAATGCAGTAAGTGATATTTGTTTGCATATCATATTGACGCTAGGAATATTCGACTGAATCGTTGAAAATAGAATTTTACAGCAATGCAAAACTTGATGGAATATAATGACTATGAAAATGGTTCATGAAGCTAATAAACGTTAAATTTATTAAGCACATTTGCATCAAAATCGAACTAAAATTGGGAAAATTAAAGGCCTGATGAAATAAAATGGCAATTAATGATGGCTTCTTGTCAACGACGTTCTGGAAATTACCAAAAAGCACTCGAACTGTATCGCCAAATACATCATCATTTCCCACACAATATAGAATGAAAGTTTCCTTTCGTATAACATCTGAATGAACGAAACTATTTGGTTCAATTTTTGGTGCAAAAACTAATTATTTCGAAATTATTTCAATATGTTTTTTAGGTTTAAAGTTCTTAGTGCGCATTTGTACCGATCTTAAAATGCCAGAAGCTAAAGAGTTCATGGAAAAGGTTATTTTCTTAATTTTCGGATCAATGTACACATCTTCCTTTTCGGAAAGTATTTTGCATTTTTAGTTCTCTTTTTGAATTTAATCTTTTAACTTACTAAGTAATCCCAATATACACCTGGCAAATTGTTTTCATTGCTTATTTCAGTAGATACACCATCCTCATTGGACCACCAAAATCAGCTTGCGAATGTTAGTTTGTCCAAATATAGTGACAAGATCGCAGACAATGAAAGTGGCCAATGTTTTGCTAGATAGACTTTCCATAGACTTCTGCAATCTCCCAGAATGCCTGAAATTTATCTGCTTCTGTTCGCGCTTATTAAAATATCACTTTCCCACCATATACCTTCTGCATACATTCAAAACATTCTTGTTTTTCCTTATTTTGTTGTATTTCGTCGATAGATCCTTAAATAGTTCACAATTCATTTCTTTTTCAAATCGCCTTATCGCTTTATAAATTTGAGTTCTACCACCATCGAACTTTGCTTTTCTCCTCTTTATATTACACAGTGGATTCAAAATTTCGACTTCTTACGCCATAATTTCCTGTGTTGTCCAAGTTCATATTCCATTTTCTTAATTTTTTCCTCATATTGTTAACGGATTTGATTCTACTTTAACTTTATTGTTTCTTGTTACAATAATAAAAAAATAATACGACAAAAAAAGAATGTTCATTGACGATTCATAGTTCATTTGAAAACAGAACAATCTATGATAACAATGTTTTGGCCGAATACTATGATTCCATAATAATCGAATGATAATTTCAGTTGATGAAAGCCGAAAAAACTCATCAACTGCGAATGCAACGTGAAAACGATTCAAGTCACGGTAAGGTTTCATCAGCGCATAGTGTACCAACGCCTACGCCAGGTTTTGTTTATAAATTTACCTCACCAATATTCAGTTAAAAATAATATCGAGCCTATGTCGAGTATACCTCAGTACATATTTTCTATGCATCTGCTTAGTATTACGCTTTCTTTTTTATCGCAATTGTTAACAATTTATGGAAACCAAATCTTTCTTCATCTGACTTTTGCTCAAAACGATAAAGAAAATTTTAAGAAACGTAATTAAAAGTCACGAAGGAAATAAAGAACGTTTTTGCAGCAATTTCAGCACGTTCCGTTTCACAAAATCGTCAGCGAACTTCAAGTGCGAGACCCTTTATTGATAATGATGATGCGTACCAAATTACGCAAACGATAACAGGTAAATAATCATATTCGAAAACTTTTCAGTATAAATTGTACATATTCCATTCCTTTAATCTGATAAAAAACAAATGTAAAAAATTACATTAAAAAACAAACGTAAAAAAATTGAATGTTGGAATGATATGCCATTTCGAACGAGGTATGCAATGTGGGTACAATTTCTGCTCATTAAAAAGAAATCAGAGTGATGCTGAGGACTCAGATCCTACATTTTTAACGATGATTTCCCCACTCCAATAGGCGAACCAGAAATGGAGCAATGAGAGAATGAGAAGGACCATAAAAAAAAGGAAAAGCAAAGCACATAATATAGAAACAAATCACCATATATTTAATATTATTGAATCTAAATTATAGCATAGAATTAGCATTTATGATTAGGCACGTTAAAGCGATGAGAAATTTTTTCCACCTCAGTCACTTGACGACAGAAATGCAAGTGGGTCGTTAACACTACTTAGACACCACTTCTTCACCAAACTTCACTCCCGTTAAGGCAGAACGCGGACTTCAAATCTGTGACAAATCGCCCGATTATTCCACTTTTAAGAACTTAAATAAAATAACTCCATTAATTTAAATTACACTCGAAATACGGTGTGGATGCGGATTTCAAATCACAGATTCTGCTGATTGCAATATTCTGGCGGATTCACTTCAAATAGAGCCAATTCGTCCGAGAACTTCAAATCGTAACGTAATGCTCGATGAAACATTCGAGGATGTACAATTCGATGAATCGCTTCTGCCTGAATAACCTTTTGCTGTTCAGAATGCCAAACATATTTCTGATAAACATTCGATGACAATGGTGTTTCTTCAAGTTCATATAATGTCAAATTCTGCTTAAAAATTCCTCATAATTTATAATTATTATGGTTTCATTTAATTAAATTGTTTTCATTTGATTAATTAAAATTTTATTTTAATTAAAATTAAATTAAAACTAATCTAATTTAAGTTTAACTAAAATTTTATTTTTCTTAAAAATTTATAAATTTATTTAAAATAAGAAGACAAGAAAATACAGTAATTGTAAGATTTTTCACCAAAAAAGAACGAGATTCTTTTTTCTTATAATTTTATAAAATTGTTTTTAAAATATGGGAATGAAGTTTTAATATCTGCAGTAGATTTAAGTTTTATAGTTAAATTAATAATATAATTTATATTTCCAATAGGATTACTCATAAAGGATTAATTGCAGCAAAATCTATTATTATTCATTATATTAGGTAAAATAAATTATAAGATATAAGAAGTAAAATAATATCAGGAAAAAATGTCATTACTGATTTTACCGACCATTGTCAGAATATATTAAAGTTATTATCCAACAAGAAATTTAGACTGAAACAGAATTCAAGGATTTTTCCACAGTTAACAAATATCACTTGATAACTAAAGATTCAAAGGAACTTCCAAAAAATTTTCAATAACAGCATTTACTTCACTATTTCATAATCACTCAAAAAACTTTCCAATGCTTTTTCCATGTTTCATAATATAGTTAATAAAAATTAAAGTATACTATTAGATAACAAACGATTGATAATGAAATATAATTATGAATCACTCCCATCGAAGGGTAAAAAATGACCGCAATAAAAAAATAGTACCAACAAGCTTACTGATTTAATTCCAATTGATCCAATCCAATTTTAAGAACAGACTGGTAACAATATATTCGAATCCTTATGGCAGGTTTGAAGCTGTTTTTTTAAAAGCACCACTGTTGAATTATACTCGCTCCACTGAGCCTGTCGGAGACAAATATAATACCAAATAGAATTACAGGTTATCGCCACCCTCAACCTGACTTTTTGAGATAAATTCAAGTGCTGTTATACCAGTTAGTGGTAAGTCGAAACCTTCATGCTCTTATTCATCTCGTCCATTTTTAATTTGAGAATTTCTATGCGAAACGCTGCTAGAACAGCACTTTATGCACATATTTTTCGTTTTCTGTTAGCAATAAATGATATTTGAAACTATATTGACTTCTAGTGACCATGAAAATCTCCTTCGATATTTTCTGCATTTCTTATTAAGATGTATCTTCGTTTTCTTACGGTTCTTACAGTTAGAAAAGGCGATATTGCGGGAATTTCTTTGTGGTGACTTAATACAATACCCTCCATAAATGAGGTTTCGATAGAAATTACTAAATTCTATATGAAAACTGAATTCTCAACAAATTTTTTATTCTATCATCTACTGAAATAAAGTATCGAAATAAAATGATATAATACTTGTACCTCTACTTTTAAAAGGAAATGAAAATCCAATTACGAACTTATTTCCCTTTTATCTAATTTATGAACAGAAAAAAGTTATTTTTTGCATTATTTTTATTTCATTTTATGTATATTTCGTTGGCTCTGCACAGCTCATTCTACTTGGTTTCTAAGAGAAATAAAAAGCAAAAATAAAGTACGTAAAAAAAACGAATATATCAAGGAATATATGAACAGTCACAAAAAATATTTATTCACTTCTAAATGATAATTCAGTTAATTTATTTCCGAACTTTTTGGAAATACTGAAGCAAGAAAAAGGAAATGGTATTTGAATTGGACAGCAGAAGTATCGCTATTTCTTCCTTTCAGCTTTACTTTCTGATTCCATTTCATAGATCTCTCTATCGGTGATGAAATGAATATTGTGTTTGTTGCTATAATCATCAAGTTCTTTTCCCTTCTGTTCAAGTTGATCCTTCAATGAAGTGCAAAGCTTTTCAAGCTGAAACTTATTATTATGACAAAAAAATTTCTTCTCTTATCAAGCAAGGAAAAGTAAAATTTACACCAGCAAGATTCGTGCTTAGAATAGGCCTAATAGCTACCACTTGATACTGTACTAAGGAACCACCGATCAACCGATAACAATTCGCATCATCTTCCATAGTTTCGAGTGCATCCAATACTCGTCTAAACTCATCTGAATTTTTAAACACAAAAGATGAATAATAATTTCAAAAGCACAAAAAAAATCTTTTCTCCTTTGAATATTCGATCAAATTTCTTTCGACCAATTACGCATAATAAATTTCATATAGAAATTTAGAAATTTGAATAAGATTACTCAAATTTCTAGAATAGCACGGTAGTCGCGCATTAAATTTGCATGTAATTCCTAAGAATAATAAAAATTAAAAGTCACTAATTTAGCATAAGCATCTAAAAAGTTACTTGTGCTCTCTTCGATCCTCCTCTACTCGTGCGACTTCAATTATGAGTTCTCTCTGTTGCTCTCGTAATTTCTGGAACTCATTAACGACTGCCTCCTTTTCCGCATTTAGCCTACCATTTGCTGCATCCTTCGTCATATAAAATTAATAGTACAAATTAATAGTACAAATCTATCACATTAAAAAAACTACTTTACCTCTCAAAGATTTCGAATCATTCATTTCCAAGCTACGATAAACGATAAAAATTTAAATTTAATACTCCAAATAAAACAATTGTTCACGACCAATCACACCATAAAGACTTCAGACAATGAAATAATGAACGTATTTATTTATTAATATAAAACTCATAATTTCAGCGCGCTCATGAAGACAAGGAATTGAGAAATAACACTGAGTAGCGAAAGATACATAAAAATTGAAAGGGTAAAATACAAGTCATTAAGAACGCCCATAATGTAGTACAATTTTAGAAATGAAACGAAAAAAAACAAATTCAATTCAAGGGAAACATGCAAATTAATTTAATAAAAAATATGAACCAGGGATTCTTAATTTTTTGCTCACTCATCTGAAGTTCTATCGATTTATTTTTGGAACAACAGTCCTTTCATTTTAGAACGCTTGGAAACTTCAGGAATACAAATTTAATTATGTATTATATTAAATTAAGGAGTTAACTGACAAAGCGTTAAAATAGACTTAAAAATTCCCTTTTTCGTTTCCTGTCCTTCCACCCTTATTCTTTAGGAAATCTCAAGCCTTTTGTCTTGGTTGCATGGTGAAACCTATAGATTCCACAGAAAATTTCGAAATGCATGAATTGAATATCGCAGTACATTAGAAAAGAAATGATAATCCTATAATAGTCCGTGGCCGCCTCCATCCTTTTATTTTCGTAATGTTTGATTGAGTCACTAAATCTAAAAGCTACTGAAAAATTCCTCCAACCCATGTTTATATAGCTCAATAAATCTAATCCGCCAAATTTTTCCCATTGATAATTTAGTCTATTCACCTACATTGTTCTACAACCGTTTCATCTAATCTCTTTTCTTTCTTCATCTCATCTACGTACTACTTCTAATTTCACGTACACTATTTGTTAATGATTTTTACAACAAAGTTTCCTTTATTACTTTTTCGCTAAAAAGATAGCCTAGCACCGAACCTCAGTTATATAAACCACAAAAACGCCATTTATAAAAACATCGAAAAGTTGCAACAAAACATGAAAAAAAAGTGCAGCAAAAAGAATTTTAATGGTACTAACGGCGAAATGGAATTTCGAAATATTACCAAAAATAATGCAGGCTTTTCACATAGAACATCAAGTACAAATAAGGCACAAAACAACCACTACAAAATATTACTGATTAAAAGGATAGGAAAAACACATGACTAAGATTAACTCGACAAACAATAAGGAAGGTCATTCATATAAGCATACTTTTCCTCAAGGAACATTATTGATATTTTTCCTCCACTAACATTAATGAGGAAATTAGGTCTGAAATTCAGGACTATTCTTTATATTCGCTGTATATAAATTAAATATAATATTATGTTTTATTTCTCTCTTCAGGAAATTTTATAAGGCCATATTCGTCAGCTTCTTGAAGTAATGCACAAAATCTTGGAGATTCCACGCTTAGAACATAATTACATGTATGTGGCTCCAAAAGGTATAATGTCACAGCAGTTTGACTGCCAAATGATTCACGACAACGAATTCGTACTTCCACACTCCTAAAAAACTATTAATTACAAAATAACATTAAAAATTAGAACGTTTATTTGCATAATAAGCAGGCGATTTAAGCAGAATTTCAAAAATCGAAACGAAAGATAGAAATTTAAATATAATGAATAAAATTTAAATATAATGCAACTCTATAAAACTTGTGGTACCAAAACTCGAATCTCTGAAGATGAAGAGTATATCGAATAGGCGAGACAAGTGTCACCTGATTTTTTTCAGATTTTTTAAAACTGAAATAATTTAAAATTTACCGTGCGATGTTCACATCTTCACATATGTCGCCTCCAGCATAAAAATGAATAACTTGCAGAATTTTTCCATCCAACTGCAATTATAAAGTTCTTTTTAAATTAAAAAAACAAATTAAATATATTTGTTCATTTTCAGATCTTAAAATTTAATTTCTAATTTAAAATAAATCAACAGTCGTATTAATCCAGATGATTAGTCGAAATGAAAAAAGATATTAGAAAAGATATCTACTCATTCTTCCTAATAAAAACTGATAAAATCAGTCAAAATAATAAATAACAAAAAAACTGAGCAATTAAATGAATAGCAATGAATTTGTTAAATGAATAGCAAAAGACCAATTGTAAACAATTTTCTGGAAATGTGTAAATGATTAGTTAAAGTTTTATTTAGGCTTACCTTTAGAATATGTTTCCCAGAATTAACCTCTTTAATCCACTGTTTATGTATAATTTCATTGAATACTCCCAAAACGATTTCAGTGCGTCCATTGATATCCTCATGGAATTGAATCACCTATATTTACAAACGATTTTTGGGGAACCAATAATTAAATATCAATCCTAAATCACCAAACTTTATTACAATATCTCTATATTCTACTAAAAAATTTTCGATGATTAAATATGAATTCAAGAAATTTACACTTTTTCCATAGCAAAATTCATATTTCCACCAACCAGTCCCACCACCATATAAACAATGCTTTCCACTTAAGAAGTACTTAATGAATACTTCATCGAAAATCGAGACAGAATTTCTACTTTCATGAGAAACTAAAAATAAAATTCACAAGTAAAAGTATGAAATGAATAAGTGGTAACCTTGAAGAGTTGCCAACTATTCGATTGAGGCTCAACCTCCACGCGGTCCTATTTAATTTTGACGATATGATAAAAAGGTTCTCTAAATCCTAAAGGCTATCTGAATCTTTTTCTTTTAAAACCATACAAAATTCAGTAAATGAGAAACTATTCCATAGCACAAGAAAACAGCATAAAATGATTAAAAATTCTTAAACAGAACTTTGCGGAATATATGGCGGAAAAACATATAATAATAATGTTATATAATAATGTATATATTAACAGTAACCAAAATCAAATATAACATAGACAACAACATCTCATAGACAACATTTATATTATGCTTATAATTCGGATATGCACTTGCACTTCATAATGAAAAACTTCATAAACCAGCTATGGACGAAGATGAAAACCAATAAGAGCAATCTGCTAACTGGTCCAACCATTTCTTTGATGGGAAATAAAATCAGGAATTTTTTTTGTCATAAATTGTGCCGAGCTTTAGTTAACAAAGCAGATTGAATTGCACAATCTTGGCGTATTATTATGGTTATATAATTCGTTCGTATCACAAAATCTATAAAACTGAGTGGAATCTTCAATTCTTGTATAACCACGTTCTCATCTTTCAATATTTCATTTTACACAATGGTATATTTCTGTCCATTAACGATGCTTTCTTAAAGCATAGCCATCCCTTCTTTATCTCGTCAGATCCTTATACTTTACGGCAAATTCCTTAGATGTTCCTTACAAGTTACTGTGTCTCGTCATTCCCGAAACCATCTCTCTCTCTGATAGATGTTCAAGAACTGATGCGATTATTTGTCTTGATTCTTTAGTAGTACTCTTTCAAACCTAACCTCTTGACAAGGCAATTCCTTAATTATATTCGGTCAAATCTTCATTTTTCGTGGTCTCAGTGGTATTAGCAGCACTATGGTTCTCCACACTGAAAAGTGGCTCCAATATAATCCAAGAAAAGTGTTAGAGCTCTAGAGTGCAATGAACAGCTAAGATACTACGTAGAACACTCGACCTCTCAGGTCTCTGGTAAAAAATTCGAGGTTGAAGACGATTTTTATCATCCATAGGAAGTAAAGATTTTTTTTTGTAATAAATACGATATTATTTTATACGATATTCTAATTTTACTTACAATTAAAAAATTTTTTTTGCTTTATAATCGCTTTACCTATTTTATTTTCCTTTTTAAAACTATTATCTACAATCACATGGCATTTCTGCCAAGTTATTAAATCAATAAACTAAGTTAATTAAAAATGAATGACCATCGAAATCCCATTAAAGTATTCATATTTTTATAGATCATTCATTATAATTTATTTCTTTTTGTGCCCGCTGTTATATTTCTAATGTTTTTTGAAATATTACTAATTTAACATTAATATTGCCAACTGTAATTTTAATGCAATAAGTTGAACGTATTTGGATTATGACAGCTTTTGCCAACATACAGCACATCGCTAAGGAGAAAAGGCGATGAAATAATATAGGAATTGCGCCTACTATGGCAATAGAAGAGCAACTGGAGATTGTTAACGTCACACAACAGAGATCTGGCAAATATTCAAGTTAAAGAACCACTATGAAGATCGAAAAATTGTTAAAATTGAGTTTTTAAAGCATGAAAATTTGAATATAGTTAGATTTTGAGATAGCAACAGGCTATTATATTATAACGAGTTAACATTTCGATTATCATATTAAACAAACATAAACAAACCTTGCACAATAGATCTAGAAGTCATCTACATACACATAAACACAAATTAGAATCAGATAAAATAGTGGCAGTATTAGGAGACTCTTCCTTTCGATATTGTTATTCTCAATTATCGTATTTTTGAATGAACAAAAAATTCTTATAGGAGAGATCTTTGCATTATAATAATTAAAGAATGACAGAGTGATAGCAGAGTTGAAGAAAGATGAGAAGATAAGCATCGACCATCAATTTCATCAATTTCAAAATTTTGACGCCTCACGCCAGTACTCCTACGCTAAATTGACTCGTCCTATGATAATGATATTAATTAACATGTTGCACCGATGGACATAAAACACTGCTTGGATAAGAAGATTTGCTGTTCAGCTCATGAATTATATAACAACCATATATAGACTAAACTCGGTATTAACCTCATTTCATTTTTAATGCTAAGGTTTACAACAAGCAAAGAATAATTGCGTTTTCATAATCTTTAATAAATATTTGATTAAATTCAAAACAGAACCATATTATATGTTCATGGTCCATTTGAAATTAAAATTGATACTTTTTTCTATAACACCATCCGTACTGGTGGGTTTCAGCAAAATTTTTTGAATTGATGATTCGTGTTCAATGTCCTCGCTGCCATAATCCTTCATTTCAGAAGATGACGGATCGAAATCTTTTTGCAAGTGCATTAAGCTATATTCCTGTAATGCATTACTTCGTGGAACACCAATCAAGCAAACGCATAAAATAAAATAATTTCAGAATCGACAACAATACAAAAATAATTTTGTTTACTACATATTTAAAACAAATTTTTTGATTATTACTTCTACTCATTACATTTATTAAGTTATTTCCAGCAATGCCTTAAAAATGACTTAAACGAATCAAAAAGGATTTCATTTATAAACAAGCTATTTTTAACAATACCGCAAATTTCTAAGAGAAGATTAAAAACCAGTTTTTTAACAATTTAACAAAATAGGAGAATTGGAGAAATCATAAATACTGATGGTTTTTAAGAATAACGTACGAACCTTCTCCTTAACATTAGCTAATTCAAATTCTAGAGCCAATAATGATGTTGGTGTAGCTTCTTTCTGCTCGGAATCTGTCGCATAACATACAACTTCATTATTCGTTGGTGCTTTAGGTTGAAATGAAGGATGCAAACAAAGTCGTTTTGTGAGAACTATTATTTCATAAGAACACGAAGAAATTTCAGCAATTGAATATATCTGATCTTTAGCATTCTAAAAGATTTCCAAATATAAATACATAATTTAAAAAAAAAAACATAGGAAATCAGAAAACTGTCAAAGATTAGAAAACAACTTTGTTTCGGACAGGGGTAAGCTTATCATTAAAAAATCTGAATAAGTGGTGCGACCTTTACTTCTATTCCCTACGCCACTCTTCTTGCAAAAATTTCTCACTGTTCTAACAACCAGTTGAAAGAGCATAACCAGAAACAATAAGCATTAACCACTTCCTCACTTTATAAAAATTATATTAAATATATAAATATATATATATAAGTAAAAAAAGTATATGTATATCTAATTCTGATCTACAGCGAAGACACTGGGATATCATTCGGATTCGAATTAGAGAAATGTGGCCGAATGGTATTAAAAAGAGTAAAAATAATTATGACTAAAAGGATGGACCTGCATGACATATAGCGGATATACAAGCTAACTATAAGTACCTTTTTGTATCCCACAGTCACATGGTTACCATGGTGAGGACGCAAGGAAGATCTAAATATCACCAAACGACAGGGCAAATCTTGAATAGCCAGCCCAATGGGAAGGACAAAATCAATGCCATAAATATATATACTCTGTCAGTCACCATGAAAAGAAGATGTGGAGGCTGCTGATGTAAAGACTAAGAAACTCCTCATAGAAACACCTGCACGGAAATTTCCACTCCAAATTTAATATCTAAAGGCTACACCAGCCGGAAAGAAGGCCGGTGAGACATGGTGAGTGTGAAACCAGTATCTTGAACGAAACTCGAAGCATTCAGAAAGCATATTCCAGCAAGATAGCACGAAAGGATGAATTGCTGAGAGAATGTCTGAAGCATCTACGGACATTGGGAAATAATCAAGCAGAGGAAATTCTATGGTAAAGCAAAACCATTCATGGATTGCACCGTCGACAAATAGCTGAGGTAGCCGATGTGAAATCCTACCAGTGGTTGGAGAAAGCTGCACTAAAAGGCAATACACTAAGCCACAGATCCTTCGAAATAAGTGTCTAACAAACTAAAAATGATTAAATGCAGACTATGCAAAAACGCTCCAGAAACAACAAGATGTAAAATGCAAGCAGGAGCAATATATACTGGAAGTCATAACCAGCTGGCATCAGCTACTAAAAGAGGAACTAGAGAAGATGCAGAACGTAAAGGCCAAAGTAATTCTAATGATGAATGGAGCACTTGGAACTATGACCCCTAAACTAGAAAAGTGGCTTCAGCAGATTCAAGAACAACATAAGAGATCTTTATCCAGAGTATACTATTAGGAAGAGCCAAGACAGCGCGCAACCCTCATTCTTTCAGGTATTTGGTGCAGTATCCGAGAATAATGGCCACGAAATACCCAAGATAAAATTCACTTCTAGGACTCTTCAATATCTTTTTTCCATCATTATGGCGCTGCAGAATGTTCCGACCGTGATATAATTCGTATGTCCACAGGGGTATGAAAAAAAATTTTTTTTATAAATAAAAGTTTCTTACTTCTTTACAAACATATATAACAACCGTTTCTCGCGGTTTTCCTGTTAGATCGCAAACTGTACCTTGCCGATATGTTACAGGATAATAGCCGCCTTCTTTATTATCAATCTTTCGTATCGGAGGGTTGAAATGATCAAACAATTTATCATCCTGAAAAAATTATTAAATGCTGTGAAAACATTTTATTTATAATCAATATATCATAAATTTTTTTCATTATATGGCTGGCTACTAAGAATACATTTCTTTCAAAAAAAGAAAAAATGCAGGGTTATAGCCTCTTTTTTTTATAGCAGCTTGTACTCGTTGTGATAGCAAAAAATTTCTTTCACAACAATAGCATACTGCATTTCAAAAATGTATTGCAAATGTATATTTTAAATTCGAAAAATAAGCACCAATTTCGAAGCCTCACGTCGAAAATATCCAAGATAAAATTCACTTCTAGGACTCTTCACTATCTCTTTTCCATCATTATGGTATTGCAGAATGTAACGACCATGACATAATTCGTATGTCCAATACAAATCTAACCAATAAGAACAAACAAATTCTGTATACAGAGACTGAAGTAACTCATTTGGCGATGGTCCACGATACATCTGATTCTTTATTTGCGGCTAAAAAACAAGCTGCATAATTTTTTATTTCAAAAGATTAAATATATTTTTGTGATTTTTGAATATAAATTTACTGAAAAAATTTTTTAAGATACAAATTAATTGAGGTTAAAAACTTGCTTCAGATGAAACAAAAGGTATCGAACAAAAGTAATTCTCATCATCTTTACTAGCTAACTGAATAAAAGAACGATCATCACGATTCATACTTTCAGTCGACAATAAACTGTCAGGAATATCTGATCGCAATTTCCAGCTTATTCTGCAAAATTAAAATATCAATAAACCAATAGGCTTAAGTATATAACAATAAATACAAATAAATAAATCAGTTAATGCTTGAATTATTGAGCCCTATAAGAAATGAAATGTGACCAGTCGTTTTTCTTCCATTTTTTAAAAATTAATTCTATAAATTTTTTCTCAAAAAATGTCAAAATTTTCAGAATTATTTAATGTTATAATGTTATACCAAGGCATTATACCAAATGTTATATAAGGTTTAATGTGAAAAAAAATTGCATACGTGAATAAGACAGAATCATCAAAATTGCTTAAAACGACTTTATTCCATTGAATGAAAATAAAAAATTGAAGAAAAACGAAGGCGAATGCTTGTTGCAACATTTCGTAAATGCTAACTCATTGAATGTGGAAATAATTTAAGTCTGAAAAAAAACTTTCAAATTTAGAAATTTCAATTCCAATTTAGAGAACCAAAGAATTAGTGGACCTTCAGAAAATGAAGATTTTTTTTATTTGTAATTCACGGTTAAAACTTGTCCAAAACAAACGTGATGAAACGGCTAAAAAAAAACCAGTCACGAGAAAATCGAAAAAGGCTGGTATTCGAGTTCTAGATCAACAATGCAGCAAATTAAACAGCAAATTTTGGATTCATACTACCGACACAAACATTCTAGTACAAACATTCTACGAAAATCCTAGTCGTAAAATACAATAGCTGTCAGTGAAAGAAACATCAACAATCGCTGAAGAAGCAACATTCAAGACAGAACAGCACTATTTTGTGCTGGGGAACGAAGGTAGATTCATTGAGAGTTGTTCAAATCTGGTCAAATGATCTCTGATGTCTACTGCGAACAGCTCAAAGAAGAAAAATTTATCGAAATTACTTGTAATAAAAGGTGCAATCCTGAATTTAAAAAAATGTAAAAACGCAGACATCGAAAAATAGATAAGAAAAAATCGAAGATTTAACTGATTAATAACTGAATGCATTCTTTTCGACATTTTAACTCAAATTAATAATAAAAATATTTTTGAGATAATCGAAATTATTTGTATCAAAAACTTGAATAAAAATTTTTTAAAATAAATAATAAATTTTTTCGAAAAATAAAGAATAGAGTATGATTTGCTGCAAATATAAAGCTCGATTTCTCGTTTTTAGACGTCCAATTTGAATAAATATTTGTTTGGCTTTAAAAAATCCTACAATTTAAACACCCATTTAACTTAAATAATACACTAGTCCATCTATCTAAGCAACAGTACAGGATTCTCCAGCAACGAGCAGTACAAGGAGTAGTTTTAACGACCAAAATACTGACAAAAATAGCTGAAAATAATAACTTTTTCACCTTCCGTGGTCATGGTTATCCGCAACCTCGGATCCTTTATCAGAGTCCTGAAAGAATGAGGAATGCGAACTATCTTAGCTCTTCCTAATAGTGTACTCTGGAAAGAGATCTCTGATGTTGTTCTTGAATCTGCTGAAGCCACTTTTCTAGTTTAGGGGTCATAGTTCCAAGTGCTCTAATTATCATTAGAATTACTTTGGCCTTTACTTTTTACTTTCATTTTCTCTTTCAGTCCTTCATATTTCTATAATTTCTCATATTCTTTCTTCCTGACGTCCCTTTCGGTTGGTATTGCTATATCAATCACCTGTGCTGATTCTCATTCTTGTCTATTACCACAGTATCTGGTTGATTGGCCATTAATTATTTATCTGACTGGATAAGGAAGTCCCACAGGGTTTTCGCCTTATTATTCTATACGATTTTCTGAGGAATTTCCCAGTCTTGGGAGAATTTACCGAAGAGATTTTCCTGTAGGTGATGCTAGCTGCTTGTTTGACTTTCAACGTATATTGCTCCTGCTTGTATCTTACATCTTGTTGTTTTTGGAGCGTTTTTGCACAGTCTGCATCTTAGTCATCATGTTTAGTTTGGTATACCCTTATTTTGAAGGATCTGGGGCTTAGTGTATTGCCTTTTAGTGCAGCTTTCTCCAACCACTGGTAGGATTTCACATCGGCTACCTCAGCTATTTGTCGACGGTGCAATCCATGAATGGCTTTGCTTTACCATAGAATTTCCTCTGCTTGATCATTTCCCAATGTCCGTAGATGCTTCAGACATTCTCTCAGCAATTCATCCTTTCGTGCTATCTTGCTGGAATATGCTTTCTGAATGCTTCGAGTTTCGTTCAAGGTACTGGTTTCACACTCACCATGTCTCACCGGCCTTCTTTCCGGCTGGTATAGCCTTTAGATATTAAATTTGGAGTGGAAATTTCCGTGCAGGTGTTTCTATGAGGAGTTTCTTAGTCTTTACATCAGCAGTCTCCACATCTTCTTTTGTCCATCTCACATGATGACTGACAGAGTATATATATTTATGGCGTTGATTTTGTCCTTCCCATTAAGCTGGCTCTTCAAGATTTGCCCTGTCCTTTCGTGATATTTAGATCGTCCTTGCATCCTCACCATGGCAACCATGTAACTGTGGGATACAAAAAGGTACTTGTAGTCTAAAAGTATTAGCTTGTATGTCTGCTATATCTCACGCAGGTCCACCCTATTAGTCATTATTATTTTTCCTCTCTTCACTACCATTCGGCCACATTTTTCTCATCCAAATAAGACCCCAATGTCCTCGCTGTAAATCCATTAGATGAAAAAGCAAGCCGGTATCTCTTTCTGCTTATAATTTGATCCATGTAGAATAGATGGCTGATCCTATTCCAACTCTTGATCATATCAGGTGATTGTCGGACTGAAGGGATTTGCATCGACGTAGAATATGGGAGACAATTGCCTTGGTAGCTGCACTTTACAGCTATTTGTGTAAGCTGTTTCGAGTTAATTTCAAGTGTCACATAGTCCCACTGATTTCTCAATGAACGACTTTAGGTTAGTTTTCTATTAGGCTTTCCTATAGCCAATCCAAGTTGTGCAGATTGGTCTGCAGGGATTTTAAGTCTAGAGAGACTGCCTTATCTATGAGCAGCTGGTACTTCCAGCCTCTGGTTTCGTTCTCAATGTCTTTTTGAACTGCACTCATATATTGGCTCAAATAATCTTATAGCTTGATAGTTATGGTATCCAATGGTATTTTTAAGTTTATAGGAAGGTAGATTGTTGGTTGATATTTGGATTATCCTGTTCTCTTATGAAATTCCCTTATGAAATTTTGATGGTTTTTGATGTACCGTCTTCCCTCATATTAAACAATCTGGATGAGAGTGTATCGCAAGCAGATGGTCCATCTGTCGTTAGGTGCTTATTGAATCGCTGTTAGCTTCTTTAGCCAGTAGGTGTGAATTATGTCCGGACCAGGTGCTGTCCAACTTTTCATATTTTTGAGTCGCTGTTGCAACTGCAATGGTAACTGGTTTTGCAATACCTGCCCCAAGTGATATTGTTATCATTTCTTTCGATGGTGAATCAATTTCAAAAGCAAAGTGATTGATTCTAATCAGTAATAAAAAATTATATGCCACTTCAAATAAAGATAATCTCTCAATAAAAAGATAAATAAAAAATTTTTCTATATCTCTTTTTTTAAGAGTCCTCATCATTACTGGTTAAACTCGCTCCACTGGCTTATTGCCAACAATGACAAAATATAATGCAGCCTTTGTCGCATTGGGTGATATGCCAGGGAGTCCCTTGGCGACAGAGATACAGGTGAGTCGCCAGCATCGTCCGGATTACAGGCTTACTCCTGCGGGGAATCGAACATCGGTCGGCGCTCCCAACTGAGCAACAACACACTGAGCTATTCTGTCTCCCAATCTCTAAGCAGAAGAGAAATAAAAAGAGCTATATGCACATTAACGTCACATCACGAATTATTATCACATAAATATCACATTATTATAAATATCACATAATTAATTAGTGGACTTCGCCTCTAAAAGGAATAAATTTGATATTAAAAAATGGCCAAGTAGTTCTCCAGCAAATTTTTTCTCGCGATGATAGCTGAATAGATTTCGACTTCCAATTTTACTTTAAAACTAATCTAACCAACTCCAAACTCAAAATTTCAAGAGCTTTCCCACTGCAACTTCCGAAACCCCTTTTTATCCCTTTCCAACATTATGAATACGATTGAAGGTAATCGCTTCGGGATTCCCTTATTTAAAAAGGAGGTTTAAAATTGATAAAAAATTGCGCGAAATGCCTGACTGGTATCCGATTCACAGCGCGCGCGCATTTGTGTGGCTGCATATGTGCATTGTGCATTGTGTGTTTGTGTATAATATACTAATGTGTGTGTGTCCGGAAAAATCATCTGTTTTCTCGAAAGCGGCCAAAATTTCTTTTAAAACTCTTTCCAGTCCCTGCTAACGTCCTTTAATCCGTAAACACGATTGTTATATCATTTTCCGTCCTCAAAATACAATTTTAGCGCAAAGTGTTAATAATATCGCTTCCGACTACGTTTTTTAAGCATTCTAAACCTTTCAGAACACCACTTCGTCTCTCTGCAGCTGCAAAATCGAAGAAACAAGTGGGTATTTGAAGTGACCTTCCTTCTTTTTTAACGTGGAAATTCGGTTAAGACAACTGCATCTCCGTCTAAACCCAGCTTGATTAGGGCGCGCCCTGCTCTGTCGCCATATGTTATTGGAAGGGAAGCGAAAATTTTCGTGGAAATATATAGCAGGCTGATTTCTCGTCAATTGTCGCAGTATGTCCTCTTGTCATCTTTCTTGGGTATTTGCAGCAGAATTGCTTTGCTTCAGGCATCTGATATTATTTCTTTCTTCCATACCACACAGTACATTTTAGACATTATTTGTTTGCAGCAAACATATGGCCCGGCGAGCAGATTAGTTATATCCGGGACAACAAATGGCGTTTCGTGGTTAAGTCTGGCTTCAAAGAATTTCTTTCACCTTATGAGTATAATCCTTAATAACGTTAACAGGCATATCATTGTATCCCGATTGACCTTTCCCCAAATTATAATTGGTTTGTGAAGAAGGCAAAATAGTTTCCTTTT